TCATGACTGAGCTGTCTGATTGAACTAAGCCGTTTTAACTTAGCTCCTATGACTGTAGCTGTTTGTTAGGGAGATAAAGGCCAACCCCAACTCCACCTTGTAGTCAGTTTCAAGATTGTTTGACATTTACATGGAGATAGCATTTCCACTATAGGGGCCACTATTGTTTGGTTTCATAAGTTCTTGTTAAAAACCAATTGGTGGCATCTCTGGAAGTATATGAAGAAAGTAGCTATAATAACAAAAACAAAGTATTGAATCAGGTTATAAACATGTTTTATTCCACTGTAAAAATTGACATTTAATCATGAGCTCTAATGAAGGCCTGTTCGCTTTTGGATCAGCCCCTAGTGGACACTCAAGTAACTGCAGTTTTTTGCACTTTGTTTCTTTTTTCAGCCTCAAAAATTGCATTTATGATCCATAACTTTAGGCTTATCATAACCCCCCCATAAATGCTTTAACAGCTTGCTACAAGTTAACATCAACATAGAAGTTTTGGCCAAACACTAATTTGAGTGCCTATCATGATTGTTGCAGTTTGTTGCTGCGTTTCTGGGAAGGTGCAAAGTAGGAAATGGTGTAGCCAATGATTCATGGGATTAGGAAAAAGTGTCTGGACTCCACTTATTCACTTGCCGGAATGAGAAATTATTCAGCCAGTATCAGCTGTTCACTCAACACTGTAGAGACTTGGAGGTTGGTGTATTCACAACAAGAAGTCCAGATATGCCAAAAAGCCCCTACAAACCAAGGTGTGCATCTTGAGCATAGATTCAATGCAAAAGTATTGGTGAGCACAAGTGTCAGATATCGGGTTGCATTATAGGTAAGGTAGGCTTCAGGTTTTAGAAAAGAACAGGATACAAAACAAATAAACTCATCAGTGTTTGCTGGTTTTCTTTGATATTTTCCAATAGTTTGTTTCAGCTAAGACTGCATGAACGAAAAAAAAGAAAACATTCAAAGTGCTCTGACAGATCTGCTAAGAAACCAGGGAAACTGTATCAGCTGATGAAGATTATGTAACATGTTGGAAGGCTCAAGAGCTACTTAATGGACCTGGTGGTGTTGTTGTTGCCAAGATGAATCATTAACTTTTAACCTCTGAGCTACGGTACATTGTTTATCCATCAAGGTGACCGTACATGTACAGAAGGATCAAGCCTCCGTGGCTCCTTGCATAGTGTCTCTTGTGGCTTAGCAAGGGTTCTTGGTACCAGGATTAGTCCACATGACACCATGCAGCACTGCTGACCTGGCTGTTATGTCAGTGTCACACTAACCTACAGTCGTTTTCGAGGGAACAGGAAATCAGGACTTTAAATCTGCCTTCGACACGCCTACACACACTCTCATTCAGAAAGAGAAAGAGGGAAAGAAGTATGTACACAGAAAGCAGCATGTCACCCCTTTTGCATATGGCACATTTATTTAAGGAAAGAGTAAGAACAGCAACACAATGTGCTCGCGCTCCACACGCCTCCAAGTGACCACCCACCACATCCGCAGCAGCAGAGAGGTGCACATACAGTGGACCTGCAGGCTGTTGCTTCTGGAATAGTCTCACAGATATGTGTCCTCTGCCGTTTAACGCTCCACACATATTGAATTTGACAGGAGATATTTTAAAGCCCTCTCACCTCCACATTTTACATCTCTTCATCTCCAAACAGAGCGCGCACCGTGAAAGACAAGCTGTTTGCCTTTGGCCTTAGACCTCTGAGAGCGGCTAACAAAGATAGCACTGTACACTCCTCAGTGACATCTACATGTGTGTGTTTGTCTGTTCCTGCTATTATTGCCTCTGCAGCCGGCTCATGATCTCTGCATCGAGGCTGAAGGGATAAAAGAGGGATTAAAGTTTTCAAACCAGCTGCTGGATTTTGTTTTGGACTCAGAGTGACGTTTTCAGAGATGGAGAGTGTATACGAGGGATTCCTAAACTGGAGGTGATAATCACAAAGGTTAGCTATTTGTGACCTTTAACCTCTGGGCCTCAACATGAACAGATGCTCACATGCAGGTCATGATGTCTTACTTTCCCTCCTGAGACTTTAAAGGTACAATGTGTAAGATTAAGCAATGTTTTGCAGAACGGACTTGTTTGAGGTGGAATATAATAATTATGAATCTGTTTGAATTGGTGTATAATCTCACAAATTTGAAAAAGATTTTTGTTTTTTTTAACTTATAATGCTGCTGAATTTTCGCTGCCATGTTTCTACAGTAACACAGAAGGGACAAACTAGGGAGATATGCAAAATGCAGCAGTGGGAAGACAAAAGTGAGAGTGGTTCTTTTTGCTCATAAAATTATATTGTATTAATAGACGTTTTTGATGGTAAAAACTTGACAAATGGAGGTTCATAATCATCGTACATCACATGGTCCTTGTCCTCAAAAGCCACCATAACTCCACCGATGGGAGGGGTGAGAAAGGGAGCATTTTAATCCAGTATTGGACCGCCAGATAATGTGAGATAATCCCATTTCTCTACCCTGTAGCTTTAAAAAAGGAATTTTCCGGTTTTGTTTTGTACAACTGAGGAATCTTTGGGGGAAAATTCTGCATTTATGACCCAGCTTCACTTCAACGCAATGGTGAAAACAGAAAATGTTCAGCCACTGAGACAGCCTTTTCATATATTTGATAACGTTTAACTATTTTTTGTGACACTTGGACATTGATATGTCAAGAAACACGATACAATTAGACAGTTTTCAGAGGTTTGCATGCATTTACTTTCTTTAAACTGTCACTTTGCACAAACTTCTTAATGGGAAAACTGAAAAAGAGGAAGTTGTGCCCTTTTTCAGGCTTTAAGTTCCTTTGGTAGCTTTGTAACTTTTCATGATTTGAAGCCTAATTATTCATTATTTACCACAAACTGGTACCCCTCTGCCTGCAGGGCCTAACTTCAGATTCTGTCTCTTTAAGCACTCCAAACTAAGCTCTCTGGAAGCCTCCTCCACTGCTGCCTTGCACCAAAGTTGTAATTGTTGAGCTAGCCAGTGTTTCTCTACTTAGAAAGGCAAACTACTAATTATGGAAACTTGTTTTGGACCCCAAATGTGACCCAGAAAGTTTGGCAAGGGACAAAGAAAAATCTCCAGCAACAGAGGAAAGGTAGGTGTTCTGTTTATTATGCTCTTGAAAGGAGGTTTATTAGTGCTGAAGTTTTTGGTAAATTCTTATGTGACTTTTTGAATGAGCAGTTTAGGGCAGCCCGCAGTCTCATCCTGGGATTACCTCGACACACGCTTTACTTCACAGGTGGAAAATCTCCCTGTGTTTAGTATTGCCATACAACATTTTAACTTAAAATGTCTGTTTGCAAAAGTGAAATGTTGCCATGTTTTTGCACTTTTCTGTAATAAGACTGGTGTACACAAAGAGGGTAAATGAATGATATGTGCACATATGCCTCATGCCACCTCTGCAGAAGTAAGTGCCTTAAGTTGGGCCACCCAAGTCAGAAAAGTCTGGACATGTCCCTGGTAGTCCATCGATCAGCTACTCAGGCCAGGAGGCTTCAGAATTAGAAATTAAAATAAAATGTGGCATAAAACAGTGTTTCTACAATAGTATCTTTGAAGCAATGATTTGTTTAAAACTTTACAGTAGGTTTTCACTGAATATTTCCCCTCTTTTTATAATGTTTTTGTTGGTGCACTTCTCTAATCTTGACATAATTCAAAGCTGGAAACATGTTTGGGCAAACAAAGGTTCTAAGTTCACATGTCCAGTGTAGCTTCCGGAGGTGCAAAATACCAGGAGTGCAGCTGTTGTCGTGTTTTTCACGCATCCCTCAATAATGACTCCGTCAGATTAACCTTCAGTCCTCTAACACTAACTCCTAACGCAAAACCTGTGAAGTGAAAATAAAAAATATGCTCCAAATATGCAGGTTTTGCTGTTTACTGCTTTTGAGGGAAGGAGAAATGAAAAACATGCATAGCTGCTGTCCAGCTTAAAGTGTTGTGATAATAAAACTGAAAGTAAACACAGTTCAGATGAGTAATACTAAAAGGAAATACTAGTTTCAAAACCAAATTAACCCCTGAGTAAAGTTCAAAATGTTATTCAGACAGTAGGAATGGATTAAAACCCAATACAGCTGCATAAAATGTCAGCTCATCACTAAAGTTAATTACATCCTGCAACAACAATAAATGTCTATAAAACATTTTGTACTAATCTTATCAGTGCGTGTGGCACGTTGGTCTGACTCATCATCACATGTTTGCGTCTCCACAAAGGATCTCATAAAGCTTATCAGATTGTGTGCAAATACAGTTGCATTTATTGATGAGTGGCTGTATTTCTGTGAGCACACAGGATTTGTAAACACTTAAACGGGGACAGCAATATTCAGAGTACAATAAAAAGTACTCCACAGGTGTTGTATAACTTTTAAAGTTTGACGTATTAGATTGAGAATTATATAATCCATTAATTTCTATCATTTACTTAAAATACATCCCCTTCTTTTATCCATATTAATCTTCAGTCATTTGCGTCACTGTGCTGAATCTCTTCCATTACTATGCTGTTGAAAATCAACTTTGAATTCACACATCAATGATTTGTTCTGTGGGGAGCAGTGTGTCAAAGCCAATTGCACAGTTAAAATCCAATTTGTTCTTTTAGAGTAATAATCTATCATTAGAGTCCAGGAGAGAGACGGCTTGACACAGACGTTGCCACAGCAGCCTCTGTGTAGGCTTCGATCTTTAGTACATTTCCACTGCAGCTGGCCCTTTAACAAACACATCTTGGCATTGATGCCTGAAAAAAATGTGAATGAAATCCAGCCATTCATAAAAATAGTCCGCTGCTGGGCTCTGATTGGCCAAACCAGTCGTCATGCATAATTCATAAGCTGCCGAGACGCCATTGGCTGCTTTCTTAACGGGCAGGGGCGGGGGACCAATGAGCGTGCGTCTCTGTATGCCGCTCGAGCCCTTGGGAAAACCGACCGGGCCATTAACGAAAAGCTCAGTCAAGTTTTGCTAGTCGACGGAGGAACAGCAGTTTGTCCGTGCGCAGGCAACAGTACGACTATCGACACGTTGTTTTTTTTATTTGTGGATAATTCTACCGCATTCTTTCGAGATAAGGGACGTATTTACACACGAAGAAGGTAAGCTGCAGTCTCCTTTTCACTGAGAACTTTGCTTTTATGCAGCTTTGGTGCTTTTCTGACGCTCTTTGAGAGTACGATCGACCTCAACGCCATCTTATATAAAGATACTTACTTTGACAACCATTTTAAATCGACCTCTTTTCGCTTAAAACACATTTTAAGTCGATTTGGGACCTAGCGGTGGATGTATTTGACCCGCGATTTTATCTGCGTAGATGATGGCTTTAGCTTATCAGCGCGGTGAGGCTTGTTTGTGATTTTTATGAATGGACGGGCCATTTTTTCTTCTCCCCCCTCCCTATGTGTTTCCACACGGGTCGAGTTTCACTTCATTGAGAAAAACAAGGCAGGGAAGGGTGGGGGAAGGGCGGGGGGAGGAGTATGAGGAGGGGGGCAGCAGGGGGGGAGTCGGATGATCTTCGTCCCCCACTTTTATTCGACTAAAACGCAAAAGTTTGGCAGAATTTTGCAAATTTTAAACAACTAAGGCGACATTCAAGTAGGTCTGACTTGTGCTGTGACCAAGTTTGGCAGTTTACCCATCTTACATCACCCTGACTGTAGAGCTATAGTGAAAATCATAGTTTAACTTTGGTTGCTGCTGCATGTGGTGAACTTTTGTGTCGAGCTTTTTTTGAAATGAGCAGTTCGTAACCTCTTTCAGGCTCTGATCATTTGGTTTGGCTCTTTAAGTTTCAAACGGCTCATTGTTTATCTCTTCTTTTGCTTTCAGAATACAGAAACCAGTTATCAACTTTTGGTTGTTCTTTCTGACTAAAACTCCCAGAAGTATTTTCTCACAAAGCTTTTTTCACTCCGAACAAACTGAAAAATTTTATGACGTTAAAGAAAATATTATTTTCCCATGGATCAGTCACTTTGTATTATGATTACGGATGAATTTAAGACAGTGCGTACCTTTCAGTCACTACATTTTCTTTGCTTTTCAAATGCTAAAAAGTAGGTTACGTTAAGAATAAGTATCGTGGTTATCTAACAGCAACTACTCACCAGCAAAAATTTAATGCACTGAATTTGTGTGCATTAATATGCAAACTTGAAAGTTTTTGAGCTGAGTCCGTTGCAACCAGCAAACATTAATTTCAACATGTGGGGCATTTCAGGACTAAACTTTGTGTCCAAATCTTAAATCTTAAAATTTTTTTATAATTCTATGAGGGTGTTTTTTTGTTTAAGAGCACTTAAGCTTTAATATTTTTGCAAAATTTTTAACCCTCTTCTGTTGACTGATTCAATACTTTATTGTCCACATGAGTGCATGCATGTTCAATAAGGTCTAATGTTGTAATTGCTGTCTGTTCTGCGCGCCTGTAATTACTGCCCAGCAGCTATCCTGTATTCGTCATTCATTAACAGCACATAGAGGAGTGAGTCATATCGCAGGGAGATGTTAGAATAAGGAAAAGTGTTCATGCCTTATTGTCTGTGTGTCTGTGTGATTTACTGCCTTTTGGAGTAAACTTTTCTCGCTCCTTCTGTTTCGAGTAAAAGACTCCAGTTCCTGCCAGCTCAATCAGAATCTAATCAGCTCTGTGGTCAGCCTTTTTTCGATCTTGTTTGGACAGCTTTATGTCATGCACGTCACAGACTTCAGGCAGACTCCTCAGTGTCACATTTCTATGTCTTTTACTCGAGATCCTCAAGCTGATTATTGTGGAAACTAGTGCCCGCAGATGGCCAGTGAGTGTGGCTTATATAACTGTATTACATGTGTTCCATGATGACGGTGTGTTGTTTACATTGTGCTACTTTCCTCCCCCTCTGCATGGCACGGATAAAAGGCTGTTTGTTGGTTAAATAAAGGACAGGAGGGAAGACTGTGGAGTTTTCACAGCATCAGAAAATGATGCAGACGTGTCACAGTACATCCCGTTACAACAGGGATGATACTATGAATCTAGGTTTCTTTTGATTTTGTGCAAAACAATAAATTAGAGCTTTAAGTAAAGGTTTCATGTGTTTGTTGTTGCCAAATTGCTTATTTTTGCTTGTTTGGATCTAGCAGATGTTAAAATTCCTCCTGAAAAAGTCTGTAAAATTATCGATTACAAGTAAAATATTTGGCGTATGGTCTTATCTCACGCAGGTAATCGATTCATCCTGACAGATTTGTTGTAGATTATCAATTTTGTGGTTATTAATCCACATTTCCTTCACTAATCTTGTGTTTTCCAGTGACCCACAAAGTGACCCAGGCGCTGTCGCTTTAAAGCGAACACCTCCCCCTCCCCTTCAAATATCGGAGCCCCCCCAGTCACCCAGATAACATGGATGGATTCTACGACCAGCAAGTCCCTTTTATGGTCCCACCCAGTGTAAGTGGACACATGCCAGGCTCACACATCACATCACGTCACATTATCATGAAGAGCTCTCACAGTGGATGTGTTTACGTTTACGGCACATGGATGCAGTTAAACGTGACGTCTTCTGTTGATGTTTCTGACTTAAGTTCTGCTTCTCCTCTTCAGCACAAGTCTCACGTGGAGGAACCGTCTCACAGCAGGCCCCTGAACGACAGGAAGAGGAAATTTGTGGACACAGAGCTCGCCCAGGACACGGAAGGTACAAACGTTACACCTGCACTACATGACATGCAAACACTGAGTTTTAACGTTACAGTTACATTGTTGGCTTAACATATTTCCCTTTTTGATTTCCAGAACTTTTCCAAGATCTCAGTCAGCTGCAAGAGATCTGGATTGCAGAAGGTGAGTTCTTAATTTTATTCATGTCTGTGTTTTCATTTCAGGCTTGCAGAATATTTTTATAACAATTTTAGTTGCATAAAACTTATCTGTTCTGTCGTATATGTACCAATCTAAGAAAATAAAGGAACACATTTTTCAACAGCACATCTAAAAGCCACAATTTTAGAAGTTTTGTGATTTTTTTTTACTATTAAATTACTAAATTTTCATGCAATTACTCTGCATTTTCAAAATAAGTGCACACAGCTTTCAGAGATTTTACCCCGTGTTTTGGAAAACATTTCATTTCTCTAAGTCCTCTTATTTTCAGTGGCACACAGGATGAAAATAAGCAAGTTTTCAGAGTAAAAATTAACCTGATGGGAATGTGAAATATTGCAATTTTTCTCGTAGCCAGTAGAGCAGAAAGATCAAAGTCCTCGACACGAGAAACAGCTGACCAAGTTCCCTATTTTTTAAAGAACTTCTTACCATGAAGTTTTAGTTTTGCTGCTGGTTTTTACAACAGAAGTGTCAAAATTGTAGGATTAATTTTTAAAGTGTGTCCTTCTTGTGTGTCCTTACAGCCCAGGTGCCTGATGACGAACAGTTTGTCCCAGATTTCCAGTCAGATAGCTGTAAGTATCTGATTTTTATCCGTCTGTTAGAAGCTTCAGTGTCTTTAGCGAATCTGCAACTTTTTCCTGTTACAAAGAGGACGTTTTCTGAAGGTTTTTTTAGGAGGTTCAGACAGTTTGCAGCACTGCATGACAGATTTTCTCTGTTAAGAAAACTGTGTGGGCTTCGTTCTCTGCTGCTTCCCCTGACTGAGACGTGCAGCTCACTGGTCTTTTATTGAAATTTCTCCATCCTGCCGAGGACAAACACCATCCTTCCTCTTCAAAAACACAGCTCTGGGAAACTCTGCCCTCCCCCTCGTCCTCCCTTCCCCTCCCTCCATCCCTCCCTCCATTTTGAGTTTAATCAGCCGATTGGCATGGGGCATCACATGAGCCAAGCCTCTAATCTGATTTCACACTTTCCCGCACTCGGGCCCTGCTGCCGAAGTGGGCTAGATTCCAGCGGATGGGGCGGCTTCTGAGCTGCTTCACATCCCCAAAAAAAGCTGCCCACACCCCTGTCTCCCCCAGAAAGTCCTCCACACGGCTGCCTGTTTAGCTCCGCACTCTGCCTTCGAGTCTGAAGCAGAGGGATACATCCGAATTATGCCCAATGGAGCATTTCGCGATCCCCCCTCCTCCTCCCCTCTCTGACTTTCTGAGTTTATGTTTTGGTCCGATGCGTAGGAGGTGGAGACAGGGTGTGGTTGCTGCCTGTCTTTGTCAGCGCTGCTTTCATAAATCTTGGTTTCTGTGGCGCAGAAAGCTGCAAAGTGACCGCTGAGCTGCAGAGCTTTAACGTGTTATTAAGTCAGATGCATTGACATGTATGTATTCCTCAAAGAGGGTCAAACCAAGGTTGCGTAGGTTCATACTCGATGTAGTCAGCTCTCTGTAAGTGCTGCTGTGGCATAGTAGTGACCTTGTAGGTGCGCTCTGAGTGTGTGTGTGTGTGTGTGCGTGCATGTGTGTGGGAAAGAGAAGGAGTGAGTTTGGCTGTTGTTTCTGTTGCTAGGCTGCAGGCTGCTCGCTCTCACAAGTTGCCTATTCACCGAAACTGATTTCTGATATGAGCTCCAGTCAGTGGGACGTCACATGGGTTTCACAGCTAATGTACTGACCCTTTTTCAAACTGTGATGTTTTGCTTCTTATCAGAGGAGCATTCCCACATTCTAGATATACTTACCATTGCTCCTGTTTGTTCAATCACATGACTGCTTCAGTGTTAGGATATGAAATAGGATATAAAGTTCGAATAATAGCTGTTATTTAAATGGTTAGATACTAGATGCAGTTTTACAGATTTGCAGCTCCAAATTGTAGGAACAGCAACAGGAACAACCATCCACCAAGTTTCCCTAAGCACAGTTAACTTGATTGGAAATGTTGACCTAGAGTTAAGAGTCTAGACACACTTTATCTAGTTGGATTGTGAATTGATGTTGGTTGTAAGGAAGTCTGTGCCAGGAACAAAGAGAACTTTTATCTGTTTGTTTGTTTGCAGCAGAGGAAGAGCCATGTCTGTGAAAACGGGGGGAATAATACAATAGTGATGAGTGGTTCAGGAGTGTAAAGTTGCAGGAACCTCATATTTAATCTAAAAGAGTTTTGCATCACTGAGAAGTAAAGTTAAGATATGTAACCGTCTCTTTATCGGCACACGCCCCTGTAAAGAAGAAGAGTCTGCATGTGGGGCTCTTGTTTGTTAGCCCAAAGATGTCTAATCTCCTTTATTTACTCTCCTCCGTGTAAAGACTTTGAGTCCAGCCATTAGGTTCCACAGGGTGCACACGAGAGCTCACGTGCCCATTGTTAGCCCGGCTCAGGTCCATCAGCACCACGGCTGATTTATTTGGCTCCCGCTCCTCTGCGCCCGGGGATCTAGTTTCTGCTCAGCTATTATGTGGCGCCCCGGAAGCTGCAGCCAGTGTCTAATGGTTACAGCACAAGAGAAGAAAATCATTCATCGCCATTAGATTACAGCCACACTGATTCATGGGTATTGGTATTGGCCTGCCCTAATGGGAATCAGACGAGGAGTTTGATAGCTTTTGTGTGCACAGAGCAGTTAGTATCCTGCTACCTAGCAGTGGCAGATAGATGGTTGTTTTCAAAGTAAAGAGTCAGTCGTTATTAGGGGGTGGATTATAAATGGCAGCTAAGCGTCTCTGTCGGAGATGTTGTCCATACTTCCATTTATCCATCACTTCAAATGTGGTTTAGAGAGCTGCTGCACTTGGGTTTATGGCTCCAATCGGGGGATATCTGGAGTTAATCTAACGCACTCTCTCGCTTGTGTCTGTTTCTGTAGTGATGTTTCATGGCCCGCCACCAGCCAAGATCAAACGAGAGCTGACCCCCTCCAAAGAGCTCTCTCCCTGCCGCCAGGACCGGAGTCCCATGCCCTACGGAGAGAAGTGCCTTTACAGCTACAGGTATGTTGAGAGTGATCACACTGAGAGTTTCACCTGCAGCCACGGGACGGCGTATTGATCATCTTTCTCCTCCACAGTGCCTGTGACAGGAAGCCCACTCCAGGGTTCAAGCCATTAACTCCCCCCTCGACACCCGTCTCTCCCTGCGGCCCCACCAGCACAGCAGTAACGCACCCCCTGAGCGAGCAGACCCCTCCCCCTCCTCACCCCCATGCAGCCAACCAGAGCGCGGGGCCGCGTACAGTTCACGTACAGCAGCCTATCACAGCGAGCAACGGCTCCGCCAACCAGCAGGCCCTCCCTGTCCACAGCCACACCCCGCCCTTCGCCGTGCCCTGCGCTCCCATCAGCCAGGATGCCAACACTTTCACACCTGAGCACAGGTGAGTGCTTAGACTACCCCTTTTTTTTTTCTTTGGTTCCTTGTTAAATCTTTCTAAGAGGAGATCTCAAACCGTAGTCCTTGGACATCTTTCTTTTTTATGAGAACCCTTGGCTACAGAGATTGAAGAGGGAGGGCTGAAATCTTATTCTGGGAACTTGTCAGGCCAATTTTTTAAGATTTACACACAGGGGCCGGGAAACAACCGCCTTACATTTGCACAGTTTTCTTGCAACTTGAATTAAAACTTTGAGAATTAAGGTCATAAAACCCCAAAATTTCAGCCAAAAGTGTATAAGTGCTTGTATTTTCTATTAGTTTTTAAACGCTTTGTCATTTTAATATGGTCCAGGGCTGTTCTGTTTGGCGCCCACCTAGGTAAAATGATCTGGAGAAGTTATGAAATAAGATGTGATTCTCTTTTGGGTCCGTGTAGCGCCAATAAATAAACTCAAAAGTTGGCGAAACCAAAGAGCACATGATTGCAGCAATAAACGGAACAAGCAAGTCATGGAAACTTGGAGTGAGCTGCAGTTACATCGTCTCCCTTCTTTTCAGGTTCCAGAGGCAGATGTCAGAGCCATGTCTACCTTTCCCCCCATCAGAGAGCCAAGGACGCCCCCAGTTCCTGCCCCAGCCTCCCAGCAGCAGCAACAGCAGTCTGCCCCGAGACAGCCGGCCACCGTACCACCGGCAGATGTCCGAGCCGCTGGTAGCCGTGCCTCCTCCCCAGGGCTTCAAACAAGAGCTCATCGACCCTCGATACACCGAGCAGGGCGTCCCCAACATGGGCCCGCCAGTTCCACCGCCGGGGCCTCCACGCCAGGCTGCTTTCCACCCCATGGCCATCAAGCAGGAGCCACGGGACTTCTGCTTTGATTCTGGTGAGTGGCGGTAGATGTTAGTGAAATGAGTGCAAAAGTAGTGAAATCATCAAAGTTAGTCATATTATCACTTATTCGGATTTGTTACCTTGGACTGCAGCAGTCCAGTTTTGAAATTCCCGCCTGAGCGTGACTTTAGGGAAATAGTTGCCATGTGAATTCGCTGAATGAAGCTTTCTGCTTCTCCGGCAAGTCCATGGCTAGCTGTGGGAAAGTAATTGTGTAGGTTTGTGCGCAAGTCGAGTCACTGAAGGTGAGGAATGTGCTTGTCCGTGTTTGTCCTGGGCACTAACACATGCCTGTGAGTTTTAGCACGCAGCAGAGGCCTGAAGCACAGGTGCCCGTTTCACACACACACACTTTCCAAGCCTTAAGCTGCATCATTCCTCCAGAGTCACACCAGTAAAGTAAAAGTGGGTCTTTTAGCTCAGCCTAAGCCTCCAAGGGCAAAAAGTAAATGGGTCACTCATCCAGCCAGGTGCAGAGAGCCTCTTCATTGAGCCTACCTGGAATAGATCTAGGCCAGTGTCTGCAGGGGACTTAGTGACCCGCAGCACGGCGATTGATCAGAAGAAGTCTTTCGGAGCACAAAAGGGACCAAATGGTGCCCGTTCTCTCCAAAGAGCCTTGTCAAACAGTCCTGGCAGCCGCGGTTGTTTATTCACGTGGTACAGAGCAAACAGCGCCGAGCAAATGTCGGGGCATTGTTTGATCCCAACGCCCACACACACCCAGCTGTTGTCCCCTAGCTCTGATGCACTAAACATCCCTTTTTCCCCGAAACCGGGCGACTCTTTTTCATCTTTTCTGCTCAATTGCTCTTGCACTCTCTCATTCCTTCTCTGCCTGGTGGGTGACCGGCTGGCCGGGCAGTGATGTAATGACAAATCCTCTTAGCTTCTTATGGCCCTTAAATACCTACGTCACAGAAGACTAGCATGTCTAGATAGATGGATGGAAGAAGTGCGTGTTCGGCATTCCAACATGGAACATGTCGTTACTGCTGCGTGGGTGGTCTGCAGATGCTGATGCAACCTCTTATGTTGATACAGACTGTAAATAAATCATTACATTATCAGCACCGGAGAGAAGTTTCGCATTTTCCTCCTCTGTGTCTCTGCATGCTCTGCTACACGCATGCTAAGATTTGACAGTAACTTCCTGCAGACACTTTTAAGAAGAGGACAGGACTTGAGGAAACACTTGCTGCAGATTGATCTCTGGTTGTCTTATCAGCAGACAGGAGACAGAATAATGTGTATGTGTGTGTGTGTGAGGGGGCAGCGCTGCAGAGACACTGCAAACGGAAGACAGGCCTCGACCCTCAGGGGGGAGGACTGGTGTAACTCGATTGTCATTGAGATTTAAAACAGCAGCCATGGTGCTAATCTTATTTACAAGCAGGGTGGACATGAGAGGGATGCTGTGTGCTGTTCTCTGATCTAAGCTCTGTGTGGGCGGGTTGGGATCAGGCATTTTTCAGCCCAGCTGTTTCAGCTGCGGATAGAAACAGGCTTTCGGCTCGACCACTTGTGCCTTTACCTTCTATTCATAAGAAGGACTTAAACCTATAAGTCCACAATCCAGCTGGTAATTTGGTTGGCTAATATGTTGGATTATACAGATCTCTGATAGACGTGAAGAGATAAATAGACATTTTTTCCTTTTAGGATCAAGTAAAGAAACAATAACTACAAATCTTTTAAGATGGCAAACAAGATAAGTGTTTTGACTTCTGCGCGGTATTTGTAATCTGTGACATTTTCCCTTCTTGAGGCAGTAACAGTAACAGAAAGCCCACATCAGCCTTCAGCTTCAACAGTCACACTCAGGCTAAGTTTCAAAGCCGTGTATCTTTGCACAGAGTGGCAGCGATCCAAATATATCTGTCAGCTGCGAGGTGGATTTTGATGTATTACACGTTTGATATGACAGCGAGGGCGTCTCTGGTCTAAATTTACTCCCTCTTCTTCTTTGTTTACAGAAGTGCCTAACTGTCAGTCATCGTTCGGGAGAGCGGGGAGCTTCTACCAAAATAACCATGAAAGTAAGTTCAGATTATCGTCTCCCTTTTTATGTCCCAGGTGTTTGAGTTATTGCATCAGTGAAGTCCATTTCTCTGTGACCCTGAGAGTTATCGAGCCGCTGAAAGCCGGGCTCGCTGATAGCTGGGTGGGAGAGTGGCAGTCAGCAGCGTTAAAGTGACAGCTCAAGGGGAAGTGAATCCATCAATGGGCGCTGTGTAGCTGCAGCTGGCAGCGGCTCAGCACAATACAAGCCTTCCACTCTTGGGAGGCTGCCCAGCTATATTGCTTTGCATGCAGTTTGGATCCCTGGGTGGAAACGTGGCCACTGGCCTTTATGTTAGAAGAAAAGCCAAGTTCCCACGCTCTGTCTGCATCGAAATTTCCATCCGGTAAACATTTCTTCTTCTTCTTGTCCATCGCAGGTTTCTCCTTCGACAGAGATCATCAGCTGTACTTCGACGACACCTGCGTGGTCCCCGAAAGATTAGAAGGTGAGCTTGAAAAAACTATAGAAAACAGTCAGCGGGTCAGTGTTTAAGTGCTTAAATCTGTGGGCAGTGTCAGAGTCTTCAGCTTGCAGTGCATAATGAACAGCTAGTTCACTTCACAGTCGCCATCTGGCAGGAATTTCTCACCACACTGAGGCCGTCATGGAGCACAGATCTGACTGACACTTTTATTTTTCTTTTTTTCTTTCCCCTTCTGCCTCATTCTGTCTCTGTACTCAGTTCTGCTCATGCACAACTAAATTTTTGTCTTTTGGGCACCATAAAACACATAAAAAAATGAGAAACAGAGCAGGGACAGGCTGGAAACTAGATGTTAAAATCAAGCCTGACTAAACTTATTGGCAAAGACAAAGAAGACAAGGATGAAAACTGCAAATAAAATCTAGATTCAATAGAAGTAGATGAAAGGAATTGTACAACAGTGGAGAACATGTACTTCCCTCAAGTGCTATTTTTTTATTAAAATATGTCGACTTTAAAAATGGTGCATCTTTTAAAAAAAAAACCCCGAAGTATGTTATCTCATATATTTCTAAAAAATGTTATAAAAGGTTAAAAATTGAAAAAAAGTTATCCATCCAAAAATATTCATATGATCATTTTTGGCATTAGGTAATCCTAGATTAAATTAAGAATAAAAGGTTAGATTCAAAATAAGATTATCCTCAGAGCAGAGTGGTCAGGAAGTTAAATTGAGTTTTATTTCACATTCCACAGTTTGACATAAAAATTTTAACAGCACAGAAAATATTGTTACAACTTTACAGCTATTTAAATAAAACTCATAACAATTATTCTCCCTGTTCTTTGTCTTGCAGGTAAAGTCAAACAGGAGCCCTCCGTGTACCGTGATGGCCCTCCCTACCAGCGCCGCGGCTCCCTGCAGCTCTGGCAGTTTCTGGTCACTTTACTGGACGACCCGGCCAACGGTCACTTCATCGCCTGGACCGGTCGCGGCATGGAGTTCAAACTCATCGAGCCCGAGGAGGTCAGTATGAGCCGACAAAACCTGGAGTAAAATCTACAATCTGATAGAATTCCAAATACAAGTTTGACTGCAAGTCTGCTTTGACTATTTATCAACATGACAGCTAACAAATATTTGTGTTTCTTTCTTTTCTTTTCCTCAGGTCGCTCGTCGTTGGGGAATCCAAAAGAACCGGCCGGCCATGAACTATGACAAGCTGAGCCGCTCACTGCGCTACTACTACGAGAAGGGCATCATGCAGAAGGTAAAGGCACGTTCACTCTTTTGTTTTCTCTTCCTCCACCTTCTCCCTCAGAAAGTTCTGTCCTAGGGAGAGACTTTATTAGTCTGCATTTAACGGTGTTTGATTAGAGGCATCTGGGATTTCTCTGATGTAGATTTTAATCACAGCCAGGGGCTGAATAGTTGCAGGCCTGCCGAGTTTATCTCTTCTTCTGTTGAATATTTGATTCGGTTTCATTCTGATATAACTCCCACAGGCTCAAGTAGAGGAAATTTGGACAAATCTTACAGGAGAGTTGGTGTAGTTTGACACTTGAGCCCCGTTTTCTGAATATTTTGATATATTGGAGTAACTCCAGTGTGAAGAATCTGCAACATTATCTCTAAACCCACCAAAAGTTCTTGTTTTTACCCTGAGAGTTTGGCAACATTAGAAACAAAGGACCCCTGCTGTGATAAACTTCTTGAAAAGGATAATATACAGCATTAAAATTGCTCCTTTCAAAAGCTATCAGACTTCACTTACACGCACAGTTATTTTACCTCACAGGAGACAGAAGCAGCTGTTTTCTTCTTGCTGTAATTTGTCACCGTCTTTGACTTATTGTTTTATTTTGCTGCTCAAAAAGGTTGATTCAGATCCAACAAAATATTTACCTGACAGGCATGAACACAAGAAGACAAACCAATTGAGGCAGAAAAAGAGAAATGGCTCTGCTGTAGAATCAGATTTTTTGTCAGTGGACTGTTGTGCCTTTTAAAGATTGTTCATCTTACCTTCATGTAAAGGTCTGTCTCCAGAGAGTTCCTTTTTAAATGTTGTCAGAAACTTTCAAAAGACATCCTCTGTTCCATAAATGGCTAAAAAAAGAATGTTCAATTGGTATACTGTGAAGAATTCAAAGGATAAGACTGCAGACATCACAGTCTATTAAACAGCTCCTGATAAAGACAGTTTATGACCATCAAAATCATCACTCACACCCTTAAGTATGTTCAATTGCAACAAAGGTACAGTGGCCCTGAAGGTCAACTGCACTAACACTCATGAACATAAAAATTATTTGATTAAATGGCACAAAAATGTCATCTAACGCAATAACAGAAAAAGAAATATTTTTAAAACAAATTACAAAAACAATATTTCTTGGTGCACAGAACCCTTCACATGACCATAACATAAGACCATTTCTATGCAAAAATATTCAGTGTCTTGTGAAAACACAAAAATATAAACAAATCACAAACTAAAATTCAAATTTCACAAAACAAGAAAAAAAAAACTTGAGATGCAAAAACATTTCACAGACCAAAATATTTTTTAAACATTTTAAAACATTTTACAAAAATATTTGATTACACACAAACATTTTGGAAAACATCAAAATACTTAATTTAACACGTTTAAATTTTTTAATTAATTGCAAAAATAGCTCACAAAAAAATAAAACAGTTTCATAGATTTAAAAATATTTTACATTTTCCAAAATGTAAAAACAATCATTAAAATATTTGGCAAAATAGCAAAAAAAATCTTTTGACACCCAAAAAATTTATTTAGTGCACAGGCAATTAAATTTCACAATAAATGGCAAGCATTTCATCCAACACAACCAATTTTTTTTAAATGACATAATGTGCCACTGATGGTTAGAGGTTTAAGTCTGTAGCGGTCTTCATATGTTGTATTATACAACATATTTGTTTGAAACTGGGCTGAGTTATTAAAGATGTATTTCTTTGTCTTCCCCTTCAGGTTGCTGGTGAGAGGTACGTCTACAAGTTTGTGTGCGACCCCGAGGCTCTCTTCTCCATGGCCTTCCCTGACAACCAGAGGCCCAACCTGAAAGTGGACCCTGACAGCCTGCCTGGTCTGGACGACGACACCGTGCCCCTCACCCACTATGACGACGCAGCTCCCTACCTGCTGGACGCCGCGGAGCAGTGCGTGGCAGGCCTGCCCTTTCCAGACGGCTATGGCTACTAAAGAAATCTGTCACATGACACACATTTCACATGCAAAAACACTCCCTCTGACGCCCACTCTCTAAGAACCCAGAGCTGGACCTGCTGAGCTGCGTGGATGGAAAAAACCTCGCACTCTTTGCTCCTTCATGGTTCCCTCTCCTGCTCCCTGGAAAACCTTCAGAAAACTCTGTAAGCTCCCGAGCTGATGCTGAACGAGGGGAAAAAACCTGCGACAGAAAGAAAGGGAGTGGTGGACTGGACTCTGTAGCTCCGCCCTGCTGAAGCAAGGGGCTCCTTACGCTACGAAGACCAAACAAAGCGAGGCCACGACTTTTAAAAAGAAAAAAAAAAGAACTGACAGCACGAGATGTTACATTTCTGATTTTGTGACAATCTGCTTTTCTTAAAAAACAAAACCAAGTGAAATTCTTTAAATTTAAATTCTATCATTGCCTTTCGGGTCCCCCCTCCCTGCATTTTCATGTCAACACATGTCCGAGATCCGTTAAAGGGCTTTAATTTGCAAAAACGGATTCACTAAAGAACCACAGCATACTCTGACACCACAGATGAGTTTGTTTTCTGTAGATAGGACTTCTTTTTCTTTCTGAATATGCCAGCTGTTCGTACTCTTTTGTTGAGACCCAGGACTCTCAGGTTTTCTGGGGCGTTGCTGTATTTTCAGGCTAGTCGGTCGGGCTGCTCTCTCTCTCTCTCTCTCGTGTAAATGTAAATGTTACGTTCTTTAATCGTACTGCCCGTGTAAGAGATTGTATCTGCTTCCCCTTTAGAGACTGCACCCCTGCGGTATGAGTCTATACAGTACACTCCTCTGTATCATGTCTGTTTCTCACTGCTGGGTCCTTTTTTATTGACATGATTAGCACTCTGTTTTTAAAAGGGATACATGAGTACATATTTTCCCATAAACGCCTAAGACGATGTATGATAAAACTTCATTTCGCTCCCTTTTTTTTTATTGTATTCCTGTCTGGGTGCTTCATGTTTCCTTGGCAGTGTACTAGTTCCTCTGATGCACCAGTATGGCAGGAGCATCAGGACGTTGCATGCAAAAAAAACAGAAGGGTTTTTTGACATTTTGACAACCTTCTTTTTGGACACCTTCTCTGCCAATCACACGTTGTCAATCGGAGACTTCTGCTTCTCTTTGCATGGTGTAAGAGTCCACTAACATATCGCTTTACTGTCTTTGGACAAAGAAGATATTTGTGATATTCTCTGCAGTTTTATTTTTGTGTTCTTTATGTATGTTTCTGAACCGGGGCAAAGACAAAACGTATATAAAAGTATATATTTTTGCTATAAGGCTGCATTTGTTTTGATTTTGATGTATAAGCTGTATAGTTCTGGCTCTAATAGACATGTACCTTTTAAAAACCAATCCTTATGATGCTACTCCTGCAGGCTGTTTCTTTAAGAGGCCTCTGTGTTTGGGTTTGGATGAGAAGATGTTGTTATCTCGCCTGTACAATGTGTGTGTGTATGTGTGTGTGTAAAATGCCAGAGTTCCAGCAAAGGCCAAAAAGAAGACACACGTTTTGTCATGGGATCCAGCTCAGGCACGGGGGAGTCTGCTCTGTATAGGCTTCAGTCCCCTCCCCTCACAATGTGTTTCTTACACTGCTGAGTTTATGATAATCTGTACTGGGTACAATAAACGGTCCTTTATGCTTCACTGCCTGCAGTCCTGGTGTGTTTCATCATTCCTCCTCCTCCTCCTCCTCCTCCTCCTCCTCCTCCTCCTCCTGCGTGCAGTCGGTCTGTCAGCTGACTGGCTGCCGTGGTCTGGCAGTCAGTCTGCTTGACCTGACTGATTTCTCCAGTCACATGCTTCTGACTCTTTTCTAAAATTCTGGGTAAATGATTATTCTCTCTTAACCCGAAGCCTTTATGTCTGAGCAACATCTGAGAGAAAAAAACCCTGATCAAAGCGAAAAAGTGAAACCAAAGCCAAAGGCAATTAGTGCACCACTATGTTTATAGTTTTTACTTGCTTCAAAACAAAATAAATCTGAAACAGTTAGTGCCAAAAGTCATCTGAAAGCTTTCAAAAACAAGGAGGAAAATTGAATCCTTAAATTAATTAGCGATTATCCATTTGAGGCTGGGCATGTTTGTACAGCACATTTCAGCAACAAAGCAAATCAAACTTTTTCATACACAAGACATTTAAAGAAACAGACATGAGTGAGACAAACATTAGCCTAAAAGAATAAAAGAAAACATAAAGCATCTAGCACCCTGTTACAAAAACACACCACTTTTAGGTAGGCAATTTTGAGGGACCACTGTAACATCCAACCTGATCTCAAGGTGGGGGACAGCCTGAAGAAGTATGCACCTCTCTACAAACTCTCTACTGTGTGTATGAATAAATAACTGAGCCAGTCAGACCAAAACTGTCCCTGTAAACAGATCCTGCTGTAAATATGGGCATGTGCATCCTTGCCTTTTGGAGTTTGCCTCAAGTGGTCACTTTAGGAACTGCAGTTTTAAGCTCCTCAGCTGAGGTAACTGCTCGACTATTACTCTCCTTCACTAGCCACATGTACAAACTGCACATATAAAACATTAAAATCAGATGCAGGAAATGGAAAGGAGCAGTAGCTTAAAGCTGTGGTGAATTATGATGGTTAATTTCAACTATATGATCTGACAGTGGATTTCTTCTGAGTCTTCTTGGAATTGATTGCATATTTCTCTAATATCTTGAGATGTTTGTTCTATTTAATGATTCCTGTCAAATTAACAAGCTCCCCAGTGGCATGTTTACTCAATTTTATAGTGTCTGACTTGCAGTAAAACTGCGCTCTTAAATTTTCCTCAACTGAAATGTACACTTTGATGCTACCTGATGTGATAAAACTGAGAAGCTTTGGACTCGGACTTTGTTTAGATGAACGGCAGCTCTTTGCATGGTGTTGAGTCAGAGCCTTATCAAGCCTCAGAGTGTAAAAGCCGAGCTCTGGTCTCTCGAAACGCAGCCTGGCAGGCAACTTTCCATTGATTTAGAGTGCAGAGTGCCTTTGAATGCTATGAAAGACCTTTTAGTGTGCTCATGGGAGGTGCCCTGCCCTAATATATAGTGTTTTTGTGTGAGTATAGTAGCCTCCAGCACTCAGAACAGATGTTTTATTTTTTTATAAACTGAGCCTCCAGCGTCCCTTTGTGTTGGACTTTCTTTTTGAAAGCAATCGTTGAAGGCGTACAGGTAGTCTGGAACATGATATTTGGAAAAGCACACCTTATATTGACTTTTATATTCAGAGTACACATCAAGGATCATGAAACACAAACATTTTACCCCCTTGATCCTCTGTTTGAAGCACTTTTGACAGCCCATATTCTAAAAGCTGTTATGATTTTGGCGACTTTTGAGGTTACAGTAAATCACGTTGTTGTAAAGGTTAAAGCTCCTGTGAGGATTTTTTTTAATGGTCATACAAATAAGATCAAGATTGGCAATTTCTTTACTTAAGATTTTAATTTCTGAAAACAAAGCGAGGGGGTCGGTGTCAGAGGGTATAGCGACAGCAAGGCAAGGAAAGGTTGTGTTTTATTTGGTAGGGATTTGTGTCAGAAAGACTAAATCAGGGAAAATATATGAGGCTTTGACCAAGTCAAGAAACGTAACATTTCTTCTGTGACAAGTCTGGCTATTTTATTTGACTTTTTGTTGTTAGGGTGGGCTGTGCTCAGCCTCTAAGCTTTGTTTTTAGCTCGTCATTGTCTCATCTTTGTCATGGAAAAGGGGTCACTTACAAATCTTTATCAACAGAATTTTAGTTAAGAAAATTAACAGTGAAGGCTAGACCAAGAGCTGAGTAAAAGAGACATCTACCAACTTAAAGAAAACAGACACAAAGCAACCACAAACTGCAACATGATATAGGCTTTGGCAGTGTAACAGGACTGGTTAAAATGAAAAGATGACCTTTAACATGTGCTCCTGTGACTTTCTGCATCTTTGAAACATGCCATTGGAAGAAAAGTTTATGCTTAGACTATAATTTACTACACTGGGTTGCACATGTAGAACCTCAGTTGAAATAATTGAACAATTATTGATGGTATAATAGGCCCTACCCTAGGTAAAGCATCTGTGGATACATTTGACACTTGCGAATCCCATACAGGTAATATATGTTTTCGTACAGACGAAAGAGGTGGACTGACAAACGCACTTAATTACCAGCTCTAAAGCTTTCCTTGCTAAGAATATCCTCCTACTGTTCTCTATACCTATCCATCCTTCCTACCTGCTACGCAAAGTCCAGATTAGGCCATTAGCCCGGTATAATGATCCTGATCCATTTATCAGGAACAACTGAGGCCTTGGAAGTGTCCCATCATTTTGGAAATGCTCCATCACTGGTACAGTGTAAGTCACTGCACCACCATGGGTTAACAGTGTGCATATATGAAACAAACATCATAAACATCCCACTAAATCAATACAAACACTATTACAGAGTGCTTGACCCAAGGGCTCCAGCAGGGAGAAAGTGCACACATAGTTCTTCAGCATACATTATATCACATGATCACTTGCTGCTCTGAAGTAAATTATTGATCGGGATTGGAGACGAGGCAGCTGAAGCATTATGTGGTTTCAGCTCTGAATCTCCAGACTATGGCAGGCTCTCACACAAACACTCACACACTCACACATCCTTCATCTACTGTAGTTTAAAGGAGTAAAAAAAAAAAAAACACTCTGTTCTGGCTGCAACTACAGCTGAGAAATATGGGTCATGCTGCCGGGAAGGGAACAGCACAAATCTTTCACTTTATTTGGCCAACACGCTGTGTTCGCACAAAGCTAATTACCATGGTGAGACCTTGCTCCTAAAACTCTGTTGCATAACTGATTTCGCACACACACACACACACACACACACACACACACACACACACACACACACACACACACACACACACACACACACACACCGCCCACAATCCATTACTTATTTCAGATTTACAGGACAACTCATTTTCACTTTCCTTTAACCATGGCTGCCCTCTAGTGGTGGGATTCTACAACTACATGAACATGAGTACCAAAGTATCATCAAGTGAACAAGGGTTTGATTTACAGCAGAATGAGATTGAAATTTTTTGAAATGCATTCATCTACTGTCCTATCGAAGAAAAAATGCTTGCCCAAGAAGTCCATAGCATTTTTGTGCTGTGTTTTTGTTAAGAACTTAGAAACCCAAGAATAAGTGTCACATTTCAATAAAACAGCCCAAGCAAAGCCACTGCATATGTTTAAATTGCAATGTAGAGTGTATTTTTAAGGTAAGAAGTTGATTAATCAAGCTGCAACTTGTTGGGTTGAACAGTGGAGCAAATGTAGTTGTGTGTTAATGCAGTTCATCTAGTGTCCACTAGAGGCTGGCTCAAAAACCAAGGACTCTCCATTAGGTCCCATGTTACAATTCACATATTAAAATTTACAGCATATTCATACTTAATTTTTACAATATGCATGTTTGATTGATTATATTGGTATGTTGCAGCACTCACCTCTTTTTTGGGTTGCATTTAGGTTTACATTCTTCATAATAAAGTGCAGGATTATTGAGTACTCTTTTAAACAAAAAATTTAATAGAAGGCCTGTTTTGCTATGTCAATATAAGTAAGCTAAGAGATGAAGGTTTCACGACTAGCTTGCTTTGATGGACCACATACTGATATTGCAAGTCACTCAGGCTATAGCTAGCTATGAATTTGCCATACCACTACATGTGTTATTGATCATGTTAGTTAATCAAGAAATCAAGCTGGCAAATTAAAGTAGGCTATCAGATTGAAGGCCTGTTTTGCTCTTGGTATCATTGGCTTGTTACTTGATTCAGGTTAGCCAGCTGGCTTGTTCAGCTAGGCTGTGAATCTTAGTATAAAATGAACAACTTGCCATTACAGTCATATGGGCCTTAGTTTAGATAGTTGGCCTGTATTTCCAGTATTGGTGATGATCGCTAATGATCTGCACTTGTAAGATCAATCACTTCAGTTGTGGTCTAAAAGTAGATAACTGTTTTTTCTCAACAACAGCCATAACAAGAAGGGCCAGTTAATGCCCCATACGACAATAAAAAGGTAAACAACACATCGCAGTAGATGGACAAATAGTCCTCTGTTGCAGCTGAGTTCTTTCAGCTGCAGATTTCTTGGTGTCTCTTTTTTTTCTGTAACTCGTGGGTGTAGTGTGGGAGTTGAGAATTGGAGATGTTATAATATGTGGGTTTCACTCTTTGGTGCACATTGAATTCCAACACAAGGACAATGAAGGTGCTGAACTGAGTTGAACCGCATAAAAAAATGATGGCACTTATCAAATGGGGACATGAGTGTGTCCTGGTGGCATAACAATACAGTCACTTTATGAGTCCTCTGAATTTCAAACATGCTGACGTCAACATTATGTAATGCTGTTTTTTTTCTGACTGCTGAGGGAGAACCACATCAACAGAATTGTGTACAGGACTGGTGACTGTATCTACCTAGTTTTTAGAGGATGGAGACTGGAACTGTTGCTTTGACTTTCAAGTATCCTAGAGAAGGCTTATGTCTGTGTACTGAATAAATCCGAATCGTAGAGTTCTTTTTTTAAGGCTTCAGACTGACTGAGAACTGACTGGGCTTGACTGAAAATGTCCTGGTTAACTTATTTCTCAATAAGAGTGAGGACTCAGGCATCCTCAAAAGCTTCAGCATCATAGCAGTGACTCATAGGGCTGTTTCCATGAATCTCTATGGATTTCCATGTGAGCAGATGTCACAGGCTGGAATCTGCTGTGGCATTTTGGAGCAGTACAAACTCTAAATAAATAAATGAGTAAATAAAACTCTCTTTCACATCACAAGCAAAAGCTAATTCAAGAGTAGAAATGTCAGCACTCCTAATCTCTCAATGATGTACTCTCTTGGAACTGAGAGTATGCAATCCAAAAGTTCTTGCTGTACAATCTTAGATGTTCCTCTAAAAACAGTTATAACAGTCTGCAGATGCTCCTGCACTGTATCCAGTGAGAAAACACCTGAATTTTCAGGGCTTATTTTTCACATTCAGTTTTCACATTCAAAGGGGGAGTAAAACCATCTCATGACACACCTTACCACCACCCCATCACAATAACACATGTGATGAAGTGGTGATGGGGTGGGGGGGGGGGGTGGGGTGGTAGCTAGCTGCAGTTCTCCATGTTGTGAAGTTCAACTAGCATACATATTTTCTACTCAAATTTTACATTTTTTGGATTAATACTGTGAAAAAAACAGGGTAAAACACATCTTTTTCTGCATGAATTTGTCTGACGGACACCATGTATCATAAAAAGCAACAAGCAACAAATAAATATTTCAGATAAATGACATTGCTTCTTCTTGCTCCGGGCTGCTTTAAAGGCCCAAGTGAGGTCACTTCCTCTTTGTAATGGTCTTTAAAGCAGGGGCAACTTTTTCATATTCAAAACAAGTTATGGTGACATGGTAAGTTAAACCTGTGGGCTCACACGAATATTTTGTTTTCTAACAAAAAAAAAAAAGGATTTTGGATTTAAATTAATATATCTTGAAATGGGGGACAGTGAAAGTTTGGTCAACAAAAATCCATTGTTTAGTGAAACTTCAAGTATATGCTATGTTGGTAATTGCGGACATGTAAAAATTGCCATTTGACAATGAAAAAAATACAGGGAAAATGATTTTTAGTATATATGAAGAAAATTTGAATGAAGTATTGAGACACTGAAGCACAGTTTTTTGTGCCTTATACACCTAATTAAACATTGCAGATTCAAAAGGTCTCAGTTTGATATTTTCTGTTTGAGTAAAGACGGTGAAAAAAAACCGAATCTTTAATTTCGGTTCGATAGTTTCTGTTTGAGTGAAGACGGTAAAAAAAAAAATTGCGTCCCAGCAACAGGTAACGACTGGGCGTCAACATCTCTAGCTAACCGTTAACGACCCTGACGTCAACTCTAAAGGGTTTTTCAGTCGAACTTCGACGGTTTACAAGCTTTGGTACATAAAGTTGACCCCGCAGTGTATTTTCAGACGGTGCGACCCGGTTTGTGGTTCTGCCGGAACATCTTCCATACGAGCTAACCGCTCCCCAGCCAACACGCTCGGCTCTGGTCATGCGGGAGTGGCGGTACCCTAGCTGAACTATTTCACTGCAGTGACCACTAACCCTGGTGCACTTAGGTGACTTTCATCGATATCCAGCGGAAATAAAACCGTGTAAGTTGAAAGCGCTTTCACCGTTTTCTGTAAACTTGTAACTTCAAGCTAGGTTAACTACACAAATGTAACATTGTCTTCTATTAATCCAAACATTAAACTGTTAATCCGCTGAAACAGCTAGTCTATCAACTTTTTCCAAGTCTGATACATGAAGTGTAACTCTCTTGCTAAAACTGCAGTTGTTGACATTTTGTTTAAATCTGTACCTCTGCCTTTCAAGCAATGCCTTGGAGTTAGCCTATAGAGGAAGTTTTTTGTATCCTGATTGTTTTTATTACAAAATTTCATAAACTCCAATGTCTTAAAAGCTGGGTTGCTGTATAAACTTTTGATAAAACAGTGTTGGTGTTGCATCACCTCTTTTTAGCAACACTCAAAATGATTGGGAACCAGGAAGTCTATTTTTTCAGGATTTTTGGCTGTCAAATATTGTCCCATTTTTGCCTAAAATTGGATTTCAGCTGGTCAATAGCTCAGATGTGCAAGTTTTCCCTGTGAAAAGTCATTGTCTGAATGGCAACATATGGTTTGTTTCAAAATACTTAGCTTTGCTTAGTAGACAATCTTAATTTGATCCTGATAAACATTATGATCATTTCCTAGATAAAGGAGGGTTGCATCATCTGTCTCAAAATATATGATGTTTTAATCTGTCAAGCTTTTATGAGTTTCTTAAGACTGTGACAAAGATGAAACTGTAACCGTTTTTAATTCTCTCACATTTCAGATAACACTCAAGGTGCCGGTCCTGCCATATCAGCTATAACTTCCACTAAGTATCTCTCACAGCAGATTCACAGAATCACGGCGTACTCATCGATGCTTCGTCAGTCAACATCCATGTGTGGTAAAAAAAACTCAATTTTTCTCTAGAAAATCAAGAGGAATAAAAAACGCACAGGTGGTAATGAGAAACTCTCACAACATTATGTTAATCTGTCAATTTCCAAATGTGATCAGTGTTATTCACATTTGTTGGACATCATGGTAATGATTTAGTCTTTTCAATGGTAAATATAGTTGTTGAGGAAAAACGGTATATTGTATAAACCCTTCTTTTGAGCTACATCTCCTGTATAACTCTCTAGTTTCTGTCTCTCTTAAAAAAGTAAAAGAAATGTTGTTCACAGAGGAAAACGAGCTCCCTGGTCACTTAAGGGAGACCTTGAGGCTGTTAGACTGTAGCAACGACAGGGATGGACCACAAAAAATTCTGCATAAACCGCTTGTCCAGTTACAAGACAGCTTCCAAACTGCTCACAGCTATCCCAGTGCCCGGGATTCAAATCATCAGCAGGCCCCTGAAGTGAGGATACTCATGGTTTTTAGAGTCCTAGTTTATCTGTTTTGAAATTATGTTATTTTTTTATCGTGCATACCCAATTTTGTGAGAAAAGATCAATGATAGAGGACATTTTTTGAAGGGTCCCTCTCTGTACAATCTAAATGAAGAGGGGGCTTCATGGCATATGGCTCCCAGCAGCAGTACAGCTTTGTGCAAAGGTCCAGCACCCTTGGCATGTTTCTCTGTGGACATGAAGCTGAAAAACCAGCAGGAAAGGCCTGAGCTCAGGAGCCAGACTGCAGTGACTCAAGGCCAGAGTGCAAACTCCTCATATACTGATGTTATTTTATTTCAGTGAGTATGCATCTTATGGCGGAAAAAAAAATTATATCTTAAGTGACTGAAAAAAAAAGAAAGTGTTTTCTATGCGTGTAAAGAGAATTCAAATAAACATAGTGTGTCATATTACAGGTCAGAGTGGGCAAAATTTGAAAACAACACTCCATCCAAGCACTACGGGTTTCACAACGTCCAGATGGATTCTGTAGAGTACACTTACAGCAGAATTAACCATTTGACTGAGGTGAAGGAGCTTGACTCTAAGGAAGTGCGTCGGGATCTCTTGGTCAACAGTACAGAGCGTGCTATGGATGAAAATGCAGCCATCGTGAACTGTGGAGAATCAAGAAACTACCTCTACAGTGTCATGAAGGACGATCAGAGCATCCTGGCCTGTCTTCCCAGCGAAGAGACAAAAGCAGTTGCAGGCATCAGCGAGTCCTCAAAGTCTCATCAGTCATCAATGAAAATGAGCCCTGCGGGGAGCTTCACCTCCACTCCTCGTCCTCTCACTACATGGGATGTTAAGGTGGAAACTGAGCCAGCACAGCATATGTCGACTTCCACCCAAACTGAAGCACCAGAAACATCTGACAAGCATGTCATCACTGAAGTCCACATGGCAGATCTGGACTATGTTGCTGAGGTATCACTAAAAGCAGAGGCTCCATTAAATCATCTCCAGAAAACTGTAAATCAACCCCTTTTTTTTATATTACAGGAATTTCTCAAACTAAAGGCAGCCAAAGAGGAGCTGAGGGAGCTAAAAGCCAAAATGAAAAGGTAAGATTACACCGATTCCTCCTTCAGCCCTGTGCTGCAGAGATTTCTCCTGCAGAGGGGCTATCATCTGTAATTTTATTTTGGTTTTGGCAGCTCTACTTGTCAATCTGGAAAGGAATGTGAATATCCAGCATGCTCAGCAGGCAGAGCTGTGCCTTCTGACTCTGCAGTACAGCATGTACAGACAGCACTGCTGGAGACTGTAAGCACTGCTAAGCACAGAACTGCTTAAGTGCAGCTAAAAAATTAGGATGTTCTAAAAAAGTTATTTTTTCCCCATATAATTCAATTCAAAAGGTGAAACTTCTATATATTCTAGATTCATCACATAATATTTCAAGATTTTTTTTATCTGATGATTATCTGCTGGGGTGTTAGGAAGCCCAGGTTGCTTTGAAAGCCCCTCAAGCTCATCTGTATTGTTGCCCTGGTGTCTCTCATCTTCCCCTTGACCAGTGGTTCTCAAGTCCAGTCCTTGAGGCCCACTGTCCTGCATGTTTTGGATGTTTCCCTGCTCCAGCACACCTGATTCAAATGATCAGCTCGTTATCAAGCCATTACAGAGCTTGATAACGAGCTGATCATTTGAATCAGGTGTGTTGGAGCAGGGAAACATCCAAAACATGCAGGACAGTGGGCCTCAAGGACTAGACTTGAGAACCACTGCCCTTGACAATAATACCATGGTCAACAAATCAGTTTCTGGTAATTTTGGTGGTGTGAGCAGGTGCTAGAAAGAAAAAAAATCAATGTCTCTATAAAGTTCCTCAGCAGATGAAAGCATGAAGTGCTAATCAAAGTTCATCTGACGATCTTGGCACTCAATGAGGGACATATTTCAAAACATCCAAATAGATCCTTTGAGTGAAAATCAAAAATCTTAATCCAAAAGCTGCTTTAGGTGACTCAATATTTATTTTAGTCACCCTCTCCCCTCTGCAGGCTAAAGAATCCCCCTGAAAACATTCTGAGTGTTCTACAAAATCTGGAAACAGGCTTTAGTCAGCTGAGGGATATGATCATGGCAGGAGTTCCTCTGAAGCAAATGGAGCCTCTGTCTGTAAACTGTGAGAAGATTTCCACTGAAGTGAGTTCTATCCCTGCACAGGTAAGATTTAGAGTTGTGACCCAACAAGTCTTTTACATAAAACAGTTAATTGATCTTATTTTACTCCTACTTGGTCTGGTTTAAGATCAGCGATGATGTCCTGAGAAATGTTCCTCCTGGGTGAGTCAGGGCATACGTGCCTGTGTTTTGATTTAGTTTACTTCAATGGTGTATCAGCTGTAGCATTTGACTTTGTATCAGTAGGTACGGGGCTATTGTCTTTTCTGATTCACAGGAGCTCCCAAAAAACACCGACACACAAAACATCAGGTGAAGACAAAGGATGTACTGATAGTCAAAGCAGAGACAGCTGTCAGGTATGTGTAAACAGGAGGTGTGATAGAAAAACATCAACAGTAGAGCTGTAGCATTTTTTCCTCTGTCAGCTGTTTTAATAATCAGTAAATCTTTTTATCCTTTCCGACAAACATCTGCCGGTTCCGGCTGAAATGTTCAGTATTTAAATTTTTTTTTGACATTTTATAGACAAAAACTGCAGATGAGTCAGTAAAGAAAGCAGAGATTTTAAAGTTCCTGCAGTACTAAATATGAATGAGCAATAACCTGGAACATCTTGTTTTAATATGGGACCGTTTGAACTTAGTTTTACATTTATTCCTCATCAATTCAAACCTCTTATCTCAGGAAAAAGATAAAGAGACGAAGAAGGAGAGCAGAAAACCTACGAGAGCTGTCACTCTGCTCCAGAATCCACCAAAGTTGGAAGAAAAGCAATCAAGTGAGCAAAATGAACATCTTGCATCACCTTGAAAGCGTGTGTCTGAATCATAGATGAGCTTTTCTTTTTGTTGAGAGCAGTTTCATGTAAAGAGCCCCACACCAGCGAGGCCTGGTATGATGCTGAAGAAAATCTGGAACTTCCAGGACCTGAAGCAGCCCCTGTTGGACAGGATGCAACAGGTGAGATCAGGAGTACCTGTCAAGGACAAGTTGCTAAAGATGGATGATATTGTAAGTGGTGACGCTGTTTTTTTAACCTCAGGATTGCCCAGTGAGGAGGTTGAGATTTCAGTTCTCTTTGTTTCCAATCTGCCAAGTCATGTGGCAAAGGTGAGCTTGTATCCTTTCTGCTGCTGACTGTTAAAACATTAATATCTCAGGTAAGAATAAGTGTCACTGTTTTTTTTTTAAGCATCATTCAGATTTCAAAAACTTTTCACCCTCATTTGTTGTACTACAATCATAGCCAGCAGAGGGCGGTACAAGCTTTAACTTGAATTTCCTCTTTTCCAGAGTGATGTGATTCTATGGTTTGAAAAATACAATGTCCTAGAAGTCAGCCTCTCTGATTTAAAGAATGGTCTGAGGTGAGCTACCTTCTACTCTTACTGAGAGTTTTTTTTACCACTTTCCATTCGCATGGTAAAAATTGAGTCGTATGTCTGTAAAGATGTCAGAAATGTTGTAAAGTTTTCCAGACCAGTCTTAAACCCGTCTTTATTACATCAAAGCCCCCATGCAGTGAATTTGCTTCCCAAAAAGACAGTGTTATAGCCGCCTGCCTTTCTCTTTGTGAGCCAGGGTTGCCATAGTGACGACAAGTGGATCCCAGTCTGCTAAAGAAGCAGTGAGAGATCTGAATGGATGCAACATGCAAGGCCACACTTTACATGTGGAGCACATCATCAGACCCACCGGCGGGAACCAGAGCCAGGCCTTGGACCCTGTCAGTGGACCAGAGTCTGCTCAGGCCAAAAAACCCCGAACCTCAAACACTGAATCCAGCAAAACTGAGAGAGAGGTATAGCAGAGTTGTTCCACATAGAAAAACAGGTAGAAGATGTCGGATATAACCGTGCAAAATCGTCATCTAAGGTCATAGACAGAACAAATGATGTACTTAACAGGCAAATAATCAGACTGACGATTTTTGCTAGTGCAGTCTGTCTTTTTCTTATCCCAGCTGATAGCTCAGCCTTTGCTCAGCTCCAGCATGAAGAACAGAAAAGTTTCCTGCACCCCCACTGTGAGAGGAACCTGTGTACCCCAGCATTACTGCACCCTGGGCGGCTTCGAAACCCTGATGGCAGAGCTGACGCAGAGGCACCCGGATGTCAGCAGGCAGAGGATCATTGATGCTCTGAGTGAGCTGAAGGCAAAGCACGGTGGTGTCCTCATCAGTCTGCCCCTCAGCACCATCAGAGACATGATGTCTGAGCTCCTGATCCAGCCAGCCACCACAACCCAGAGATGAGAAAGCGCTTCTTATATAGATTAAGTTTATAGTAATCCTTTCAAAGTTTTACGGGCATCACTTTAGTTTTTTCACAAGTTTTATAAAAGAGAGGTTTGATTCAAAAGGAGTGACAATCAGCCATATTGCGGAGTAACAGTTTGTTTTGAATAGTTAAAGATTGCAAATGAAGCTATATTTTATGGTAGTGATGGCTTTAAAAGCGGCCTCGTGTATGATCTTTTGGCAGTTCGATTAGTTTATGGAAAATGCTGTTTTATGTTGCATATAGCTTTACGCTTCTGTTGTCCTTTGTTGATAAAAAAAGGACGCATTAAAACATTGTATTCTCCTCTTCTCTCTGCTTTCTGTATTTTTTGGTGGTTCCTCTTGTTCTTTATCTTTACGTTAACTTGTAAATGAATCGTAGTTTATCATTTTATGAATGTCCTAATTTCTAAGATGCGTCTTTAGGAAAACCGATGCTTGATGGAGGAGATAAGAGCAAAGATTGTAGTCGTCATATTTGCAAAAGTCTGCTGTACAAGAGAACTAAATTCACACTTGATTTGTTTTTTTTGAATGCACAAATGATTTTCTTTTAGGCACAATGAGTCTTTTTTGACTTAAAGGGATATTTCAGCATAAAATTAATTTAGGGTCAAACACACCATAACACAGAGTTATAAATGTTCTTCTTTGAGCTGCGTCACCCCGCAGCAGTCCGTAATGGACTGGCCGGAGGTCTCACTACAAACACACGGCTGCTGGAAGAGAGTAGGTGAGTTGTGTTAAGTCTCTTTGCTAAAGAAATTGGGCAAAGTTAAAAAAATGTTTGGTGGCTAGTGCTGTGGCTAGGACTTTATATGTACTGTTGATAAAGTTAGGTGCTGTTCTGAGTATTTTACCTCTTATTGTCATATGTATAGTCTCGTTCTTCTGCAGATTTGTTTGAAGACTCCATACTAGCTATTAAAACATTTGAATTCTGGTCATGTTGATGTTAACCTTAGCAACAGATCCTTCCCTCTGGCAGCAGTTCCTGATTTGTCCGCTGGGAGTCCTCACCATCTGCAGGCAGTGTTGCTGTGGCGCACACACCCCACGCTGATGCCAACAGTTGAGTTGAGCAGCTAAAGGGTTAATATAATCCCCAGTTAGAAATGGGCGGAGATTCCAGCTGGGACGCAAACCGAATGAGAGAGGAACAGGAATCTGGAGAAGAAAAAGCCCTGCTGGAGTTTGTGTGAAATTATCCGGCTGTATTTTGTTTTTGTTTTTTTTCGGTATTCTTCCAACTCACATTTGCTCTTCTTTTGACAAAGAAGTGACCTGAAATCCATGGAGAAGTTTTGGAGTTGCTGTCAGATATGGGTCAAGTAGTCAGGACGTGTAAACCTGCAGGAGCGTCCAAAGGGAGAAACTTGAGTTCAACAAGCGAATCAACAGGACAGCTCTCTTTCTGCAGATTGTAAAATAATGGCAAACTGTCTCTTCTTGCACACGGATCCTTTATTATAACCTGGGAATACACGCGTAAAAGGAGCTGAGATGAAATAAGGACGTTTCAACCTTCATTTTAAACAGGAGTTAGGCGCTCATGGTAAAATAACACATCGGTGTCAGCTTCAGAAGAAGAGCAACGAATCTGTTCCTGCTCGTCCAGCGTTGATCAACACGCCGAGTGACACCATGTGCCGCCCGGGGACGTGGATGTGGAGAGCCGCTTTGTGCTGCGCGCTTCTGGAAACATTTCTGCACACTGCCAGAGGTAAAAACAAAGCCGGGTTGTTGTTCTTTGCAATAAATTCTCCATTCTTTGTATCCAGCTTGTTTTAGCAGCAACAGTATAGAGCCTGTGTTTGTGTACACACACACACAATCACACGCTTGCATGGGGGGCTTAGAGCTAATGTGAACTGGAGACACATGGAGGCGAGAGAAACAGGTCACTGGGTTGTTTGTGTTTCCATGCAGGTTACAGTGAGGTGATGGCTCTAAGAAGATTATTTTTCTTTCATATGCCCCTTCAGTTAATTATGTACAATCACAAAAAAAATAATACCTGCTCTGTAACGAGTGCAGGTGTGTCGACCAAAAAATGGAAATGAAGGCATACAGATGTGTTGACAACACATGATCATAATGTATTAACCACCAAAGAAACCCCTCTAAAACAAAGTGGGTGCTATTTTTAGTGAATATTACAGATGTTAGGTGTCAGGTCAGTTGTAAATGGCTGGGTTGGGGATCGGATGGTTACTCCCAATCGGAAACAACACCGATCCATCGCCCACGGTTGTGGTCTTATCCTGGTATCGTGATGGTTTATGAATTGCAAGGTATTCATAAATGGAAATCTTAAGGTAATTGATTATGTAAGGCACAAACATGCCCATTAAAAGATCAGGGGATTGCCATCATTGAAGTGTCAAATTGAAAGGGAAATCTGGAGAAATTTATACATTTTAAGTATAATGTTAACATTGGGAGTCAGCAATACAATAAGAATATCCCATGAATCATGGCAATGATAGATGCCTGCTGTATTTAGACTAACATCAACATACCAGTTGTAACAGCATAATAGTTTTTTTCTATTCTCTGAAGGACAGGTGATGCAAGGAGGAGCAATAAAACACTTCCTTGACATGAATAATTAATCATGCATCTAAAGAACACTCTTCCCAAACTGCAATAAAGGATTTTTTTGAAGTAAAAGCAAAAAAGCGGCACCACGAGGAGAATATAACTGTCTTGATAACAGTAACAGGTATAGGAGGGTATAGGAAGGGTTTGGTGACTTTCAGTGAAAATGTGAGTGAGTATATTAGTATTTAGAAAATCAGTTTGAGATTATCAGCTGCCTCAGTTTTGTCAAAAATCCAATATTATGCAACCCTGATGGCTTCAACCATGAACAGTGAGATAAAATAGAACCTCTCAAATATGTTGCCAATGAAAATGTCACAATTTTTGTGTTTCTAATCCTGGATTTTGAAGATCTTTGACAGAAACTGGCTGATGATTGTTCCCACTGTAACCCTGCCTTTCTGTGATCTTTTCCAACCCCTCTCTTCAGGTCTCAACATGTGTATGAGTGGCAGCGCTACATCCTGTGAAGAATGCCTCCTGATTCACCCCAGCTGCGCCTGGTGCGCACAAGAGGTAAATCTTACCTCCTGTATTTAACTTCAGGATTAAAATCTCTGCAAGTGTATAATTTAAAGCTTCATGTCATTATATTCTATCCTTAATTATATGAGTTACATCCCTGCAGGACTTCGGGAGGGGTCGAACTCTTACGTCAAGGTGCGATTTTACTCAAAACCTGCAGAAGAGGGGCTGTGAGCCGCGGTTTATTGAGTACCCCAGCAGCAGTGTCTCTGTCCTGCAGAGCATGCCTCTGAGTTCTAAAGGGTCTGGAGGGACCCAGGGTTTGGTCCAGATCATGCCTCAGAAGATCTCCCTCAGTCTGCGGCCTGGTGAGTAAAGGAAAACTGACGCACATATTTACAAAATTCAGCACACTTCACGGTGAGAAAGTTTTTCTGCTCTGGCATGAACCAGCTGAAAGTTTCTGTCTCGTGGCTCATTTAGGAGGCCAGACGTGGTTTGGACTGCAGGTGAGGCAAGTGGAGGACTACCCAGTGGATCTTTACTACCTTATGGACCTGTCTCTGTCCATGAAAGATGATCTAGACACCATCCGTAACCTGGGCACCAAGCTGGCACATGAAATGGGGAAACTCACCAGCAACTTTAGGCTGGGCTTTGGCTCCTTCGTGGACAAAAATATGTCCCCATTCTCCTACACAGCACCCAAGTATCAGGAGAACCCCTGCAATGGGTGGGTACTTAACCATTTATCGCCAAAGGAAAGTTCTGCTAACTTGAATCTCAGTCTTATCATTTCAATATTTGGTGGTTTAAACCATTTGGGAGTTGGTTGCCCCTCTGCTGGCAGCAAAGTAATCCTTGGAGGCACATGCACCCAATCACATTAAATCCAAAAGTGCTTGCCCTTGCTGCTAAAGCCAGATTGTTATTTTAGGAATGATTGAGGTTTTAGAAACATTGCCTACAAAGAGCTTTTCTTTCATAGATATAGCATTCTTATTTTAAACCAGAGACGACTTTTATGCTGCTGCTTTTCATAGCCACCAGACCCCATAGATGGAAAATGTCATTTTATCTTGGATGAAACAGAGTTACGGGTTTTCCAGGTAAAGAAATGTAATGGCTGTTTGTCTTTATCCTGAGATCTTTCCTCTGTTGGTGTGAGAGAGCCACAGTGGATAAAAGGAAGTCCGGAAACAGTAATTTACTCAAAGGCATACATCTATTTTTGCACTTCCATGAATCATGCATGGGTTGACACTGCGCTAGCTTGAAAGCTGGACTCTTCCGATGTGATATGGCGTTTTTAAAAACTGCCCTTCTCGTCCTGCACCCCTCTGCTTGTTGATGAGGTCAAACAGAAAGGCAGCAGAGCAGAGTGAGGGGTAAAAAAGCTGAAGCACACCATGTTTGCCCCCGAGGTGAGACAGTGGTGCACTAACGCAGAGCCACCATCGCGCATCACTTCCCATCTAGGTTATGGGTACGGTATGGTGTGTGTGTGTGTGTCACACAGAATTATGCACGGCAGGCAAATATTTAAAGAGATAGATGACAACGTTTTAACCCCAAAGCAGGCCAGCTGACTTCTGCCATTGCTCACCCGGTTTGAACAAGAGGAAAGAAGCCTTCATTTAGAGAAACTGGATTTCTAAGAGGCATCATCATAGAACTCATTGTGATGCCTTTTGACTGTGACAAGACCATCAGAGACAAGGTTGAGGAATTTTAGTGTCATTTTTAATGCTTGAAATTGGTGCAAGGGGGTAGGTGTCAGTAAAGCTGCTGGAGAAACAACCCTTTTTATATGTTTCACATTAAATATCCACAAAATACGAAAAAAAAAAACTGACTATCAAAAATGAGCAGGATGTGATTTTTGTCAGGAGACTCAGTTTGAGTATGGAGAGGACAAGATAAGCAAAGAGAGTCTTGTTCAAAGGAGGCATCAAACTCGATACATACTGAATGACCTCTGATTTGTGTCACTATGTTGGTCTGCCATATTAGTGGAAAAGTCTATTTAGGACCATTGCCAGGTTATATTTCAAAGCCATTATACTGTATCATACCTGTCACTTATTACGCAACCTTTTTTTTGTAAGCAGCAGATCTAGTGTGTAGCTTTTTTTTTATTTGAATGTTGTCCTGATGTGACATGAAAAAAAAAACCTGGAAGTGACCCCTCTGTCTTCCTTTTACAGATACAAACTGTTTCCTAACTGCGTCCCCACCTTTGGTTTCCGCAACATCCTCTCTCTGACGGATAAAGTGGACCGTTTCAACGAGGAGGTGCAGAAGCAGATGGTGTCCCGCAACCGTGACGCTCCTGAGGGCGGGTTTGACGCCATCCTGCAGGCTGCTGTTTGCAAGGTGACGAGTGTTTCGTTCCTTTATCTCTGTTGTCTTTTTAGAGGCTTGTCGAGTGGTCGTATTTTGTCCTTTTAAATGAACCCTGACCTGGCTGCTTTGAGTTAAACATTTGGTTCAGATTAGAGTGAAAGCTGTGAAAATACCAGAATGCTCCTGTGACAAGCGTGTGTCCCATCTCCCTGTTAATGAAAAGCACCGGCGGGGGTATGAACTGACAGGAAGTTCAGTCTGCTGCAGCTGGTTAAACAGAAGGATGAGTCCCTCTCAGACTCAGTCATTCAAGTTTTCCTCAGCTGCTTTAATTGTTTTCTACAGGAAGAGAAAGACTTCCTCACAGAAGCTCCTGCCTTGTAATTTTCTTGCTCTGCAGTGTTTCAAACACTCATTGGAGGCTGGGCTGGCTCTGTCCCAGGGCCTGATTAATCCTTTTTTGTTATTATTGATTCGAGTGGAAGTCAGGCCACCAATGTGAGGCTGTCACATGAATATGAGACTTAACAAAGTTATCAAATTAAATAGTTATTTCTGAAACAAAAAGTATGTGTTTAATGGAAGAGCTTGTTTGTTGGATCTTTTATATCAGTAAGGACAGAGCTCTTCAGCTCGCATTGAAGTGATTTTAGCGTGCCTTCTTCAGGGTTCCTATGCAAGTCTGGAAAGTCCGGAAATAAATTTGATCAATTTCCAGGTCTTAGAAAGTATGGAAAATGAAAAACAAAGTATGGAAAAATATTTATGTTTCCAGACTATTACCACAGTTCTAAAATACTGCTTTCTAAAGTAGAAAAGTAGGTATTTTCAAAAATAATTAGAGAGTATGGAAGTAGAGTAGTAGAGTATGGAAAAGTCCAACTGTGTAGGAACACTGCTTCTTGTTTAGATGTGTTACCTGTTGTTTTGAATGGTATACCATAAAAACGTAGTTAAAAAAAAGTAGCCTGCTCTACAAAAAAGTTAGTTGCTCAGGTTTTTATTTGGTTCAATCAACAAAGTCCCCCTGCCTTTATTTGAGACAGGCACAATAAGATAGAGAACTATAATTTTTTTCCCATAACGTCTTCCAACATTAACTCAAAGTTTGACTGTTTCTACCCATGCAGATCAAATTTCACCACTTAAATGTATCACAGCAGCTTTAACGGTCACTTTTGTTGCTGCAGGTTAGAGCAAGTCAAGAACTTTTTATGTATTGGTCATTTGTGAAGGAAACAAGTGCTGATATGTCACTTTTTAGCTTTGCCTGTAAGTCAAACGCCCTTTAAATCTTTGCATCATTATTGCCTCCTGTTCAAACTTGATGTCCTCAATAGGAGACAGTCACGGCTGTGTGTCATGCCTCTGTCATCCATGGCTCATCCCTCACACACAACATCTCTGCTGTTTTTCTTCACACTTGCTGCTCATCATAAAGGCCCCTGATAGGATCCCCCGCAGCTCTGTTGTTTACTGTAAAAACAAAATAAAGAATAATAGAAGGACAAATCCCTCTGTTCACTGCTAGAAATGTTTTGTGTCTTTAGCGCCGTGCATTAGTCAGCATTCTGTTAGCGCTCACTTTGGCACGCCTGTTGTTTCCTGTTGATACACTACAGGACTGCGCCTGAAGCAGAAAACTCTGGCTGTTGTTTCACCCTCACTGTTTGGGTGTGTTTGGATCGGTAGCTCTCAAACTTGTGGACAAGATCTGGGAGAAGTTAACAGTCAGATGAGGAAATCAAGCCCTGTACCAAAGTGTTGATACATGTTTTTTTGTCATTTGTTCAAACTAAATAACTCTTATTACTTGTACAAGTCTGTCTAAGGTGTGTTCCTAAAAACAAACTCCCTTCTGTATTTCTGTAAACAGTCAGAAATCGGTTGGAGAAAGGAAGCCTACCACCTGCTGGTGTTTGCCACAGATGATGTCCCTCATCTTGCACTGGATGGCCGACTGGGAGGCCTCGTCCAACCCCACGATGGAAGATGTCACCTGAATGAGAATAATGAGTACAGTGCCTCCACAGAGATGGTAAGAGGGGCGGCCTTTTCCTACTGTTTGCCTCACAAACACAGCAGCAGTATATCTAACTTTTTAAAGATCCTCCGGTGTCATTTTGGCTCTCTTAGAGGTTTGACGAAGAAACGACCAAGTATGAGGGGACCACATAAAAAAATCAATGACAAAATTAACTGCAGAGATAGAATAATCAGTTGATTATTTCACTGTTTTTCATGCTCAAGGGGGACATTAGGGGTGCAGTTATACATTGATACTGTAGACGCCCATCAGCGCCAACAGGGCCTGAGGCAGCACAGAAAGTGGTTTCCCCTGACTTATTTACTTGCAGCCTGGAGCAGCAAATGAAAAACCCCTTCTGTTGTGAAACTGCTTTTGGTGGCATTCATACTTGCAACCATTTTTTTAAATATAATTTGAGTTTTACAGCAGAATATGAACCCTGCTGTTTTAAATCTCAAGAAACCTGACACCTAGAATGTACTATGGGTACTTTTCTTGACCAAATCCAGCTGTGAATGGACAGTGGAATTTCCACTGTTTACCTAAAGAATGACTCAGAGATACAGTACGTCTGATACTTTGAGCTCTTCACCTCCTGAAAGGACTTGCCTTTTTTTTATAAGATAATACACGGCTCCTCGTGGCTCGAATCCAAGTCTACATTTCTGGAATTTAGTTCATTTTATGTCAAGTGTCTGACCTAAATCTAGTCTGAACACACTCAGCTGAAGTAAATGGAGCATTTTTAAACTCTTGCCTTAACCCAGCAACTTGTTCTTATTAATAGCAACAGCATGTGGAGGTAATTGAAGTGGGGAGGGAAAATACTCACGTCCACACCTGGAGGCTGCCAGTAAAAACCACAGAATAGACTGTTGACATGTAGCTACACAGCGCAAAGCATGCAGAGGGACAAAAAGACAGAAATGTTTAGCTTTGACCTATAAACCTATCGGCTTCAAAAAGCAGTTAACAAGAGATACAAAGCTGATCAGGAGCCAAATGTAATTCAGTCACACAAAGAAATTCTTTCTCATTTGTACATAATTGTATTTTTTAGAGAGCGCCAGCTGCATAATACAATAAACATGGATAGACATCATGTGGGTATCACTGCACTCCAGTTAAAACTTGGATTCTTTCATTTGTGTTTAGAAGTTATTAGCTTCTAAATCAGAATTTCCAAAGAATAACTAATAGGCGTCCATAACAGAGCTGCAGTGGAAGAAAGAAGAGATCTTGAGTTTTCTTCGATGGCTGCTGATTGGTCAAAGAGTTGTTGAAATGTTACTTTGATGAAGGTTAAACATGAAAAAACAGTAAAAGATGACAGACACAAGACTGCAAAAATATTTTCTCCTATCAGTCTTTTTTGGGATGCAAGAAAGCGTGTGTCTGTCGCCAAAACAAGTCATATCATCTGCATAGATAGCTTTGTCAGTAAATTTGGCCTTTTCTAATGTTCATGAAACAAATCTGATTTCAATTGACAGAAACAAAGATTTTCTGTCTATTTCTAAACCACATTTTCCCATTTTCCGTAGAATTCTGTTTACTCAGTGCCGATAAAATCCACTGGAATTTTATTTCCAGGGTCCAAGAAAAATAAAAACCTTTTCTTTTATATCAGAGCATCATGACCACAATCTGAGCAGTGATATTGGCAGAACCTCATGAAACCAACACCAGTTTAGTTTTAAAGTGAAACAGTCAGCATTCTGTTTGGGGATCAACACAAGAGCCAGGTTTATTAATATAAAGTGTTTCACAACAACACTAAACTAAGAAAGTTCAAAATGACATCAGCTTCAAATAACAGTGGTATGAGATGGATCATATTCAATGTGAGACGTCGCTCCTCCATCAGTATGATCACATGAGGATCGCTTGTGTCTAAAGATTCTTTATTTTTGTCCTTGAACTGCATTTAATATTACAGAAAAAAAGAGCTCATTCCTTCTAGCCAGTTATTTTTTACTCAAGAGTCAGAAAAGACTTGTCAAGGAGAGACTAGAGAGAAAAGGTAAACAGAAATGAATGAGGTTTGCTGTGAAGCAGGATCAAAAGGGTCTTTGGCTGGTTTCCTCCACAATGAGGGGGAAATATACATCGGGCTTTACTGAGTTTCCATCAGAGTGTTTATAATATAAACACAAGACAAGGGTTAGAAAAGCATCAGCATATGTTGGTTAGCTTCTGGACAGGAGACTCTATATACTCTATATGTGTGGAGAAAATTACCCATGATGCCTCTTTCCACATCTCTACAGGACTATCCATCTCTGGCTCTCCTGGGGGAGAAACTGGCAGAAAACAACATTTTCCTCATCTTTGCAGTGACTAAACGGCTCTATGTTATTTATAAGGTACTTTGATTTGACAGTTTTACTTTTTACGTAATTGTCCTTTATATTTTTCTTTTGGTATTAAGGTGAATTCTGCTGTTTTTTCCCCCTTTTTAAAAGAATTTTACTGCTCTCATACCTGGAACCACAGTGGAGATCTTGGACCAGGACTCCAAGAATGTGATCCAGCTGATCATCACAGCGTACAATGTGAGTAGAAAAACTTTGAGCGGCTCTAACTCTGTGTGTGTCTGGTTTCCTGTTTGTGTGTGTGTGAGAGAGTAATGACACAGAGGGGTTTGAGAAGATAAGAAGAGGGGGAGGAAAACAGAAGCGAATTCTTTCATGTCTTCCCACTGCTGTGACACATTTAATGAGCCTCCAGCTGACATGGGTGGCTGCTCACAGGCTGGATTCCTCATTTTAGTGAGGACGTTGGTGGGCTTAACAGCTGGCTTTGTAACAAATTGGTTTCTGCTCACAGATATTTCTCACAGGGATGGAAATGATCAGTCGATCAGTCCTTCAGTAGACCCACAAATAAGTTTTGAAATAGAAGAATGAATATATTTGTTCACTCCAGGCTTTGGCTTTTACACAAAGAAGAGTAACCATGAGCAAATATCACTTGTGCAAGCTCATGTACTCATGATGTTTTTGGTAGGGCTGGACGATATGGCCTCAAATCAATATCACAATATATTGAGCAATTCACCTCGATAACGATAAATGGACGATAACTTCTCCACAAGCTGCTCACCCCCTCCCACATTAACTTCGTCTACTTCAGCTGCTCCAACTTTTGAACCGTCCTCCATCTCCTCACCTGTCTTTCCCTCTGTGTTACGGACTGGATCGGGTGGAGTCATGTCTCTGATGTAGGACAACGTCTCAAAGGGACACGAGACCATAGCCTACCTACATACATCCAAAACCAGCCTTTGTTTATTTATTTATTTTGACACTGAATGTATTGACATGCGCAAAATGACGTCGGTTATTGTTGTAAATTTCTGTATCGGTACATTTTCAGTTTATCGCCCAGCCCTACTTTTTGGCCATACTCACTCTGTCCCTTTGCTTTTCAGGCACATTCAGACTTGCTTCCTGTTTCTCCTCTCCCTGCTCTCCTCTTGCTGTGATATTTTTTATGTCAAAAATACTGCAGTCAACAATTAACTTTTTTTGTATCTGTGGCTCCATTGTGCTCCCAAACTTTGTTGCACGTTAATTTAAGCTCATGATGAAGAAAAGGTGAGAGCTAAGGATAGGGGTCAAGAACACGCTCTGCTGTGAAGAAAGAGAGGGAGGGTGCCCTCAATTCACCCTATAGGACAAAATGAACACAACACGGCCTTCAGTATCGATCATCACATTTTCATGATAGCAGGGAGCTGTAATTGTAAATGAAATTGAAATCGATTTACTCACCCAGCTCTGCCCCAGGCTTCTTGACATTGACGATTATCCCTTTTGGTTAAACTGGTTGCAACTGATGATGATGATGCTACCAGACATTGCTCTGCTATTATTAATTGCAAGTACAACGAAACTAAAAGATTTATGTATTGGCAAATGAAATGTTACTGAAGTGAGATCTTACAAAAGGTCTCTTTTTGGGCTGAAAGGATATATTTTATTCAAGGAACTAAATTTTTCATCAGTAGCATGTCTCTCCAATAAAGATGGAATTTACACGGATATACCCGCCATGTAAAAACACAGACATGGCGTCCCGCCTGTTTTTTCCTATAAAATGATCGATTGTTTTTAACTTCCCTGCATGTAGTCAACCGTTCCCTGAGTATTTTCCTGTGTGGGCGTTCAAATTTTCCTCTCCCTGGTCTTTCTTTGGCCCTGTGGCGGTGTATTCTCTGTGACAGAAACTCCTGTCGAAAGCAGACTTGACATGCCGAGTGTGTGGGAAGGAGCCTGAATGAAGTCCTTTGACTCATTCCCTTATTAACATTCCAGCTGCCACGTTATATCCAAAACTTGTCGGCTTTGCCAAACACTCTGAGGTTACTTTGTGTGACCAAGTGATTTTTCCTTAAATCTGAGTGTGGCTTAAAGCTGCTGCCGCTGTGATTGCGTCAAGGGTCAGGAAAGAGTAAAGAGAGAAGGAGTGAGGGTGAACTAATCCATGCGCAGAGGGCATGATCCTGATTTCTCCATGGCACAGTTTGTCCGTGTAAATGTGCTAAAAGGATAAAGTCTGCATAAAGCTTGATGCAGCTAGCGTAAAAAAAAGAAACTCAGTAAAGTCAACCTGTATCCATACACAGGGTTTGTGGTTTAGCTAAGTTGGACTATAAAAATGTGTCTAACCAAAGCAGTGCATTCCCCATGTTTCACTCTTTTCCACCCTGTTACTCAAAGTTTAAAGCTTGAAACGGCACACTGAGCTGGTTTCAGTGTAAATGTTTCTGCGGGGAGAATCGTGGTAATATGGCTCTAGTTTCAGGAAAGTGGGAAAATATTTACGCACACAAAGACAGCTGCAGAGAAGTCTGAAAGGTTTTATTGTGCCATGCAGCATTAATCCGTCGTAAAACCTTGAGTTGCTATCATGTTCTGATAAATTCTTGTGTTTTCCGCAGAACATCCGCTCTAAAGTGGAGCTGTCGGTGTGGGATCACCCAGAGGACATCAGTCTTTCCTTCACCGCCACCTGTCAGGATGGACAGCCTCTGCCAGGCCTCAGGAAGTGTGCTGACTTGAAGATAGGAGACACGGTGAGTCCCTGTTCACACTACCTCCCCTGTCCAACCCACCTCACAGTGTTAATGTTTTATGCAGCCTGCTGGCCCTAAAGAAACATTCAGGGATTTCTCTTAGGGGTTATAAAAACTTTATCAGTGGAGTAGTTACAGGAAGATTCTCATATTTCTAAATCTGGACTCTATTTTTTGCACAAAATTTAGAGTTACTTCTGCAGAAAAAGGCTTTGATGGCTGCAATAAAATCCATATAGACATGTGAGCATCCAGCAAAACCTCTTAATGCTACTGATGGGCTCTGATGTTTTTGTCATTTTACAAAGATCCTTTCAGAGACGAATGCTAAGATCCATTATGATTAGATAAGATCCATTATGTAATAGCCCTTACATGGCTCACCTCAGAGCCACAGGCTGCATCAAAATAACATTATTCCTACCGCACAGAAACAGGACTAACTGGTCTGCCCCTGCCTTAATGATTTAGTCTTTTTGTGTTAGAGTATGAACTCAGAGTTGAATGTTTAGTTTTAACAGACTCAAACACACACACCCCTCTCTGAACCCTGCCCTACCTTTTTTTCTGGTTTTATTTTGATCTGTATCAGCTCAAAGTCAAGAGGATATTTATGCAATGTAGTGAATGAGGTAGCAGAAGAATAGCACCTCCCATTCTCTGCAAAGACAGATTTATGTTTTAACTGAAACACCCTTCAACAGGGGTTTGCATCAAACCTTGATACCAGTGCAGCTCAGCTTGTCTTTGTGAGCTGAAGCACATCAGGACACATGGTTGAACTGCCCCAGCTTGATTTGCCAGAGATCAATATTTTGCAGCACGCTCAGAGCCACATCTTTTAACAGGATTTAGGGCACATGGAAATCATTGTATGTGAGTGGAAATCAAAAGCTTTTAGATAGGAAACATGCAAGTGTTCTCTAAAAATATGTCCTTATTTTCCAAAAAAAGGATCACCCGGTTGGCACTTTGGTTGAACACAACGGTTCAGTACTGCAGACTGTTTCCTCATGTCTGCAGGAGCAGATCGTTGGAACAGCATGTGTGGATAGAATTATGTGCAATATGTGAATTATTATTACACCATCGCTGTTTCCTTTGTGTGTCTTACTCCAAGACTACTGAGCTGGATAGAGACCCCTCATGCTGTTTAGTAGGCATGCAGAGATGTGTTGCTATGGAAACAAGGTCTGAGCAAAAGGCTCGGGAGTTTTGGTAAAAAATGTGTCCATATGCTTGAGCGCAGCACCTTCATTTTGCAGGTTCAGACAGTACAAAGGGTCTGATACTTTGCGTTTGAACCATCTTCTGGTGCTTTCTAATTCACATCTTTAAAATAGTTTCTTTAAAGATATGATTGGAAATAAGACTCTATGATCTTACCTTCTTTTTTATTGCAGAAATAAGCCTTTACCTGAATGTTAAGAATAAGAGGTCTTCCAGTTTATTGTATGTTCCCATTCTGAGTGGCATTGGCCAATCAGGTGTCAGCAGGTTAATATTTACAATAAAACTGAAACCCCTGACAGAAAGATGAATGTGTGCTGCTCGCGAGGATGCAATCAAGTGAAAAATGTCGGTGTTAATTTTCAGACAAATCTGGAAAAGTCAATTTCATTTCACTTTTGATCTAAACACATGATCACTTCTCAGGTTACTGATTGGACTGTGAATAATTTACGAACAATCACGGAAAAGAGAGTTTTGGTTAAAAGTTGTAAATCCGTGTAAATCGAGTTTGATTCTAAGATTGAGTTTAGGTGTAGGTATGGTTGAGTCTGAATTCTTCCTCCCTGCACAGTGACATTCAGAGACCCAGTCGGCGGCTAAAGAAAGCAAGCTGTGACTTGGCGGTCAGGGCTAAACGCAGTGTGACCTTTGAATCTGTTTCCAGTGACTTCCTGTCTAATGAAACCAAACCAAGGTGGGGGGAGGGTTTGATTTTGTTCCTTATTTAACCACAGAGACAGTGTTGGCATCTATTGAAGAGAAGACGCCACAGTAATCAAAGTCATGACAACACTGTGAGGGTCACTCCAGGACACATTTCGTCACTCTTTCTATACCCAAACTTAATGTGTTGGTTTTATACCCCCTGATAATCCATTTATGAATTGTAATTTTGCAACTTTATGCAGCTTATCTACTTTCTCTAAAAGCAGTAAGGGTTCAATATCATTACCACACAGCTTTCTTGGCAGAGCTCTGTCACTCCTTGGGGAGTATTTCTCCACTCAGCTGGATTCAATCAGCAGCGGATACAGCTTCGTGAAAGCTGTGAGTCTCACACTTTGTCCTCCTGGTGGCTCAGTGGAAATGTTTCTCCTGGCTGACCTTTTGCCTCACATTTATTAAGATCAGGAAGGAGTCGATTACTGCAGTGGTAATTTTATTACAGGATCTGATAAGCCAACGAGCTTGCAGGTCTAGTCAGGAAGGCATTTATGGTGCCAATACCTGTTCAGCCCCATGCCACAGTTTTTCAGTCTAAAGAGGCTTTGCAGCTCCAGCTTTTGAGATTGATCTGATCGTAGATGCTGGCCAAAGGTGTTGTGAGCCAGAGTCGGTAAAGATCCAAATTACAGTGTTTCACAAGTACTTGATCCTCTAATCTCGTTCTTTAACCAGTCTTTGTGGCTTGATCTTGTTTATTGAATTAATCACTCTTTGACAAAACAGTGAGCACTCTTACAGAGTTAGACACACTTTACAGATCTCAAAACTCTGAACACATTCTCACTTATTTAAACATATTTTGCACTTAAATACATTAATGGTGCAGAGTGGTAAACACAGGTATCATCATAATGCATAGAAACTAAAATAATCTGGTTCAGAGAGTACGGCATATGGGAGTGAGACTCTGTCTCTGAGTTTACCACCTTTGCGGTGCACTGTGTACTCTCTCATTAAGGGATGCAGAGTCCAGGACACACCAGTAACTCTGATGAAGGTCTGAGTGCCGCAATGTTGTGAAGAAATACAGCAAATCCTTGATTCCAACTTATAAGTGACACCAGTTAGGGCTGGGCGATTTGGCCTCAAATCAATATCACGATATATTGAGCAGTTCACCTCAATAATGATAAATGGACGATAACTACTCCACAAGCTGCTCACCCCCTCCCACATTAACTTTGTCTACTTCAGCCGCTACAACTTTTGAACCGTCCCCCATCTCCTCACCTGTCTTTCCCTCTTTGTTACGGACTAGATGGGGTGGAGTCATGTCTCTGATGTAGGATAGCGTACCTACACACATCCCAAACCAATTTTTATTTATTTATTTATTTTGACACTGAATGTATTGACATGGGCAAAATGATGTCGGTTATTGTCATACATTTTGGTATCAGTAAATTTTTGGTTTATCGCCCAGCCCTACTACAATCAAAAATCTCAGAGCACCACCTGTACAATGTTCTGCTAAGACAGTGTTGCCTGTAACCTCCATCTCACTAGCTTCACAGTGAATGCAGTGCATTGTACCAGTTTCATAGTGGAGCCACCCTCCAGTATAAAACTGGTACTGGTTCTTCTGATTACTATGAGCCTTCTCTGCTGCTGTTGCTCACATATCCACCACATCTCTATCACCCTCACCAACTTCAGAGGTTAGATTTTCAGTAATGGAGCTAAAAGGGACACTTCCTCCCAGTGTTCAGGATAATCTTACATCTTAATAGCTTTGAATTTTGCACAGACCTCTCTCTGGTGGTCACTTTATATTCTATACAGGACCCCAATTAAGATTAGTATTGAGTCCTGAATCCATTGAGATCTAGCGAGGGGCAGCTTTGTACATGCAGGCACACAGTGAGCTCTGGCATGGTGGAATTCTTTTCCCAAACCCCCCAGAGCTGCTTTATTTTCCTGGGTTGGGGATGGGAGAGGGTGTCAGGAGGGGTTCAGGCAGAATAACACCAGTGAATGGGGGGAGTTGGCCTCGCTTTTGTCTTTTATCCTCGCTGGTGAAAGGAGGTGGAGGATGCCAAACTTCCCAGTCTTTCTCTCAGGAGGACATGGCCTCGTCCTCATCCCCGGTGTCAGTCACTGTGTCTGAGTGTGAGCTCGCCGTTGAGCCTGATGCTGCATCTCAATGACGGCACACAAAAGTGAGCAGGAGGAGGCCTGTGAAACTGCAAAACCATGAAAAGAGAGAGCTGGCTGGGGGGAGAAATGTTAGCCAGAGTGTGTATAGATATAAGCATATGAATGACAGCTAGTCTGTGTTAACATACAGAAGGTTTTATATCCAAACAAACCAGAAACATTTGAATTTGGTTATGTGTTGTTTTTTTTGACCTTCTCTAATGGTTTTGTCTAAGTTGAAAGAATTTGTGGCAGACATATGAATTCCTACATCCAGAGAGACTCATCCATGGTGACACTGAAGTTGTCCACACTATAAAACAAACGTTTAAGATTAAAATTGAATGTCTAATTTGTGTCCTACACATCATAAAATCACCATAAATCTCGTTCAAGTGTTTCCAACCAACAGTCCAACTCTTATTAGTCTCTCATATTACTGACATCTCTCCTTGAATTAAGTTACCCACTGAGCTGACTGTCAGCTTTTGCGCAATAAGTTAAATCTCCATGCATTTCCTGATTCATTCCTTCCTCCTACACTCCCCAAATGTCCTGTATCACTACTACTACTACGCTGTCCCCACATTTTTACCCTCCACAACCTCATACTTGTCCTAATGAAGCCACATGATTGAATGGACCAGCCTCCTCGCGACTCACATTTACAGTAAATTTAATATTCTCCCTCATTAACTTGTTAAGCGTCCTGCTCTCAAGTGAAGGGGGAGTCCAGGCAGCAGAGCAGATGACGTAAGAGTTTCCTGTATCCTGAATCAGCTTGTGTTTTGTGCTGGACTAGTGACCATATTTTACCAAGAGGCTGGAGCTTTAGCAAGGGGCAGACTAACTATGCAAATACTAATTCATCCATAGACTGTGTAAAACATAGATGGAGTCGAGGAGAAGTTACAGAGCACAAAATGGGAAGTTGCCATATTTGAAATACTGACTCTAACCAACTTTTGGCTTATCTAACCAAACTTTTTAAACTCTGTTTCTTGGTCATATCAATCAATGTAAATTGATAGTAACTAGGGCTGGGTGATAAAACGATAATGATTTATTTCAAAAATTAATTTCTCTCGATATTGATATGAAATATGGTCAGTAATGCTTTTTGATCGCAAGCATTCTGCCATGTTTTGGGATACGAACAGCCAATGAAAAGGGGAGTTGCTCCTGGTGTGGGTCGCGCTGAACTGACCATTCAGTCTGCTTTCTCTAGCGCATCGCCTTACGACAAAACGTGGAAGAGACACAAAGACCTCACAGGCGCACTAGCTTATTGTATTGCAAAAGACATGTTACCAGTAAGCACTGTGAAATTTCATTCAAGAGTAACAGGTATCATTTAAGATTGACAAGTGATTTTCTCATATCGTGATATCGATATCGACTGATATGAAAAAAATATGTCATGATATACTTTTCCCCATCAGTTTTTTTCTGCCAGTATGATCTTTAGTCTTTATTTGGTGTGTTTTTCTATAGTTCAGTTTCATCTCTTGCATTTACATTGTGAATTTGCCAGTATAACAGCTGACAAAAATTCAAACTCTCATGGCTGCTGAGAGGTGTATCTGCCAAATCCAGGCAGAGGAAAGCAGAGGTGTATCTTTTATTTTTATTTTTTATCACACCTGAAACAGGACAGACTTCGCCCAGGGTGAGACATATTTGGTCTTGAGTTTCAGGAGCTCAAAGTAGATGCAGGGATGCCTTTTACTGAGGATATTTTGACTCCAACCAGCACACAGATGTTTTTGCCAAGACGAAGCAGGTGCTGCAAAGACGTGATATTTGGAGTCAAGTGATTTTAGGCAAAGCTTCAAAGCGGAGATTATTTTCTCCCCCGTGAGATGGTTTTATTCTTTGAACCGAAACGGATGCACCCGTTTCTCACTTTTTCTTCAAACTGCATCTGTCAGTGAGTATTTGTTTTAAGCTTCAATAACTTTCCAGCACAGCTGTAAACACCCTCAAATTTAAGCTGAAAACCTCACAATCATTGTTTTATTTCAGATCCAACCCGGCCTTGGAACTGAGCCAAACCAGCAGGACATATGTTTCTTTTTGGCACTTTGTCATCGTTTCATAAAGGGTGTTAAAGTGGAAACATACATTAGTTTGGCAGCCAGTCATGCTTATGAAAGTCAGGGCAGCATCAAAGAAAAACACTGAGCTGTACATGAAGCAGACGGCGTTCAGGACTGTGGCTGTGGTGGAGCAGAAGGAAAGAAATACCAGAAGAAAGGGCTCATACTGGATCTGAGAACAGCCAGGGTTGGGTTTCTCTTCCTTCCTCAGAGCAATCAGATGGGTGTAGGTCCTGTGTCATGTCCCACTTTCTTTCTACAGAGGAAAAGTCTCTCCATCGGAACTCTGTCAACACGCTGATGTAAACGCAACAACACTGGGCCGCGTTTAAGATCATGTTTACAGACTGATGCTGTCAAAGTGACTCAGATGTAAAGACGCAGGGTGGGATCAAGTTCTTAGACCCTGACCTTGACCTGAACTGTTCTCATTACACAAACAGGAACTTGTAATCTTTTCTCCATCACTGTCAGTGTTTGTATATTTATCTTCTAATTACACCACCATTTCCCCTCCTTTTGAAGGTGTCGTTCAATGTGAGTGTGGAGGCGAGGAGCTGCCCTCCCAGTGGCACCGATCAGAGCTTCACCATCAAGCCGGTGGGGTTTAAGGACCGCCTGGAGGTGTCTGTGGATTATCAGTGTGACTGCGGCTGCAGCAAGAAATCACAAGTCAACAGCAGCATCTGCAGCTCTATAGGTACCCCATCCCTCACAATATTTATCTGTTTACTCTGGATTTAATGTCCTAATTGAGTTAAAAACAGATTGTTTTACATCAGCTTTTAAGTTTTGTCTAAAAGTTTTTAAAAGAGCAGATTTGGAAAGGAAGCCCTTTGGTTAAATTTGCAGTTTTTGGTCTGTTTAACTGTAGTTTGGAATTTTGTTAATCCCCCAAAACCGGTTTATGCATCTCCTCTGTAAGAAAACAATCATATTTAAATCTTCTTCCAGGGGCCACAATTATAAAAGGGGACAATTTATGAAACTGTAGGACAATCTGATTTGGTCTGATCCAAATTGATAACTGTTTAATCTCAGCTGACACTGATGGCATTTTTAGGATCAGGGTGCTGAAATAATCAATCGATTAATTAAATTTTATTTCTATAGCGCCAATCCACAACAGTCATCATCCGAAGACGCTTTTTTTAAAAAAAGGAGCAGGTCTAGACTGGGCTCATTGTTTGATCAATTGTCAAGACCCAACCTTAAGATGAGACAGATTTAAGATTACCTTAATCTTACTTTAAGATTTGACACATTTCATCCAACATGAGTGACAGTGGCAAGGAAAAACTTCCTTTTAACAGGCAGAAACTTTGGGAAGGACCAGACTCATGTTAGACAGCCACTAAGCCGCCACTGGGTTGGGGAGAAATACAGAGAGATAGGGAGGGAGAGAGAGAGAGAGGAGTAGGAGAGAGGGCAGGGGGAGAGAAAGAGAACAAGGGAGAAGTAAGGATAGAGAGAACGAGTAGGGGAGAGGGAGGGAGAGAGAAATAATGAAGTGCATTTATAAGAAAATATAAGCTATCTCTCCTAAAAGTAGCAGTAGTAGACACAGGACCAACTTGGGTTGTTATGAAAGTGTAAATCAGCAACTTTAAAGCACTTAGAGCCAGAAAATCTGACTGGAACATTTCAGATTCAGGAATTTTCAAAGCTCAAATTACTGTGTGAATCTGAAAATCGTCCATAACTGTTAAATAGGTTTGCAGAGTGTGTAAAAGCCAGTGTCGTAATATAATATTTGCCCTCGCAGGTACTTATAACTGCGGGATGTGTCACTGCGAGCCGGGCTACCTGGGCGCCCGCTGTGAGTGTCAGGAGGGCGAGGCCAGCAGCATGTACCTGAGCGCCTGCAGGGAGGCCGAGGGCAAGCAGATCTGCAGCGGGAGAGGAGAGTGCAGCTGCAACCAGTGTCTCTGCTTCGAGTCCGAGTTTGGAAAGATATACGGGAGCTACTGCGAGTGTGACGACTTCTCCTGTCCCCGCCACAAAGGCATCCTCTGCTCAGGTAGGAACATCATCCACACAGAGTCTCTGTTTCCTCCTCTGAAGCTGAGTTGCTGAGTGCCTGTAGAGAGGAGGCGTTTTTTTTACCCTGAGCATTAAGCTTAATGAGAAAACAAGCTGACATCAAACATGCTGTAAAGTCTTCAGATCTGCTGCTTGATGTGGGCTCTAATTAAAAATGATTTCCCTTCTCAATGTTGAGTCATGTTCCCTCACCTGCTGTGGGTGCGTCTCTATGGTTTGGCCCTCTGGTGACTCCACAAACCAGCTTTTTATTTTGGACTAAGTGGTGACTGTCACCTGCTGGGCTGCTGGCCTCAGTCCCAGAAGAAGAAGAAGAAGAAGGAGAAGAAGGAGAAGCTTCAGAAAGGCAGCTGCTAAAGTAGTTGTTCAGATGTTCAGTTTGTGTTTTCTTTTCTCCTTGGTGGGCTTGTTTTGCTCTGAAACTCGTCCAGGAATAACGGGAGCTTGTTTTGCTGAGATAGAAGCAGATTTGGCTCAAGAGATGTATCAGGTTAAAAAACAAGCAAAAGGAAGATTGTAGAGTGGCTCTCTGGCTGGAGCATTTTGGCCTTTAATTATCTCCATGTTACCATCCCGGGGCGTAAACATGCTCCATTAATCAGTGATGCATGTGCCGACGCTAGTTCATCTCTATGGAGACCGATGTCCTTTGAGGTCTTTGTCCACGTAATCCTGTTTCAGTCTAAAATAACAGCAGTGATGGTCGAATCCTTTCTTCCTTTGTGCCTTGAAGTCTGAATCTTCCCTCTTTCTTGTCATTACATTGTAGGTTAGCAGATTGTGTCTTAAGAATTGTTTATGATTAAAATGTAAAACGTCACGATGTGTGAAGGTGGCCCTGTACTAGCTATGCTGATCTGGAATATAAACTGTTACTTAACAGTATGATCAAGTAGAGCTGCAGTGATCAGATATTTTAGTGAGTAAGCACTCTGGTGATAAATTCAGTTGGTGAAATTGGGAACAGTCACAGATGATCTTATCTTATTATCAAGCCTAAATGTATACTCTAACATTTGAGGGCAGCATTGGATGACAGAAGTGTGGCTTCAGCAGATCACTGTTTGTTTACTCCTGTTAGTGTAGAAGTTGTAACAATTACAGTACAATTTACACAACTTCCATAACATCTTAAAAGATATTGCTTCAGACCATTTTATGCACGAGAAGCTCCGGTCGTGAAAACCAGGACTGATAAAGATGACCAGTGTTTTTTTTTGCATTACTTCTTTGTATTTTTTGGGGGGCTGATTTTTTATTATGAGCTGTGAGATTGGATATATTTGTTTCTGTCCCCTCTCTTTTTTTTACTGTACGTGGCCCACTTTTTCTTTCTTGTTTGACCGTAAAAACAAATCTGAGTGACCTCTCTCTAACTCCCATTGAAAGCTCTCTGAATTAGCACTTAGCTTGCCAGCTCTAAAGTGATGCAAAACAACAGATAGTTGTAAGCTACTGGCGTGGTGTATGGAACATAATTTACTGATGTTTGTCAATAGAGCAAAGATCTGCAGTACTGATGTCCAACTGATACATTAACACACTCCTAATTTTTTTCCCCTTATTGATCGGATAATAGATTGACTGAAAATATGGAGGATAGAGAGAGAGGAAAGATATGACAAATGTTGAAGAGTCAAACTCAAGTGAAGGACGGCTGCAAGGACTTTGACCTCTGCACATGTAGCGCACAATCTAACCAGTGAGCTAAACTGTCATCGCAACATGTACAATGTTTAAGTAATTAGTAAGTACATTATCTTAAAGTTTACGCTCTTTTTCTGTGGTGGATGAAGCTACCAGAATGCCTTTGTGCTCTGCCTTTTTAAAGGAAGAATTTTTCAGAAAGAACATACAAATTCTTAAGTTCTGAAAAGATTTAGTTTGTTTATCTCTTTGTCATGCTAAAATTGAGATGTTTTTTCTATCGTGCACCTAAGCTGATTTATTTTCTGCGTAATCTGTGATTTTATGTTGAAGTAAAAGATACTACCGGAAGATCATACGTCACGAAACTGAATGAAAACCGTAAAATAAAGTATAAATGTGAAATCGATTGGTCCTGATGAGGCACAAGCTCTTTTAAAAGGGGTTAGGGCTGGACAATATGGCCTCAAATCAATATCAAGATATATTGAGCAGTTCACCTCGATAACGATAAATGGATGATAACTACTCCACAAGCTGCTCAACCCCTCCCACATTAACTTCGTCTACTTCAGCTGCTACAACTTTTGAACCGTCCTCCATCTCCTCACCTGTCTTTCCCTCTGTGTTACGGACTGGATGGGGTGGAGTCACGTCTCCAACGTCAGACAGCGTTTTTAAATGGACATGAGACCATAGCCTACCTACACACATCCAAAACCAACTTTTATTTATTTTTTGACATTGAATATACTGATATGGGTTAAATGATGTCAGTTATTGTTGTAGATTTTGGTATGGGTGCTACAGCTAGCTCACTAGCAGCTGCTGCTTTCTCTCTCCTTTGTTAGAGGACATGTTGCAAGTTTAAAGGGCCACTACCGTTACTTAACTTTCTTTTTTCTATTCTGAACGTCTTCAAAGGAAATCATCTAGTGTTTTCTTTTGCTAGTCCTCTAATTATTTGAAACACTAGAAGTATAAATTCCAGTGTGCGGTCAGCGGTCTGACACCTCTTCAGAACAGTTCACAGGGTTAAGTTCCTCACACCAAGCTGTGCTGCTGCTCGGACCCAAAGAGAGACCCGGTTTGAAAAAGCTGGTTCGGCTGGGCATACCAAACAGGCCGGGGTTGTTGTGTTCCCAGGACATCCCGTCCAAGACTCTGCGTTCTGGAGCAGGACCTGCTGGATCATCCCCAGGCCAGCAACTGTTCCCCTGAAACCACAGAGAGAGCTTTGTGACAGAGGGGGCCAGCTTTTGGCGCGCTCCCTCCAACACAATACCCGCCTGTATTTATCTGTGGCCAGAAGAAACAGAAGTGTTTCGTTTAGTCAGCAGCAGGGCCGGACACGCTGAATTCACAGACGCAGAATGGCTGTTTTTGTTTGTGCTGATCATCTATAAGCAGTCATTAAATCTTAACAGTCCACTACCCTCTGCCTCTCTCCTCCTCTCTTAGTGTGGGCGCCATAATGAGTCCTAATGACACCAAACGGTCTGCCTCCTCCACACTTTCCTCCCTCACTCTCCTGAATCTGACAGTTAATTATCGTGGAGATCCCTGCACAGGGCATGCTGTTAAAATTACTCTGTGCCCGCTCTTTCTAGGAAAATCCACAGGAAACACTGTTTAGGTTTCCCAAGCCCCCTTTAGCAAGCAGAAATATCCCATAAATAGCATTTAGCTTTACCTGAAAGCAGCTCATTTGGAGTCTGGGATGTCTGGGAAAACTCAGAGCGTTCAGACGTATAAACCACCTCCAGGCTCAAAAGGTTTTATGAAGGAAGAAATCAACTGGCAGCTAACCCTCACTGTGTTTTTACTCCTCTTGTTAAATAACTCATCATTTCCTTAAATGTCTGAGAGAGGCTTTCTCATGGAGTTTAGTGAGGTTTAGCTATCAGCCTGTAGATCTGACATGCAGGCTCCGGAGTGTGCAGGAGTCAGATAAAAGATCAGGTTTGATGTTGGTTGTTTAACTTGGGATATTTCTGTTTGCGTTCGAGTTGAGGCTGCAAGAGCTGCTGAAGTTGCAGATGAAACAAGTAAAAATGTCCTTCTGCAGGCCAAACACTTCAGTTTTTATCTTCTCCCTGCAGCACTTGGATGATGAATGCACAAAGGATGTAAATATGAACATGTTGCCTTATGGTCTGTTTTTTCAGTATTGGTTCTTTATGCCGTCTGGTTTTCTAGCCAGACCTCAGTCTATTAATTATAAGTCAATTAACTAGAAATCCTGTCTTGGCCCGTGCAAATGTTGCAGGCCCACAGAGAAAGTCACATACAAGCAGCCATAATTTTAGAAAATGCTGCGTCCTCCTGCTTTACTACATGAGTGGATCTTTTGGAGTGTGATACAAGTCTTCATCCAGCAGTGTAGCAGCTCACCATGACTTGGCGAGAGGCTGCTGCTACTCTTTTCTGCTTAGTGGTCAGCATCGAGGAGCTTTAGCCTTAATGAAGCCTTCACAGATGTGTAAGCTACCCATGCAATTGACACTGATGATCCTCATACCAGGGATATCAGGGATGCTGGCTTTGAATTATGAGCTGAGAACTAGCTGAGTTGAAAGTATGACTTGTCAGACAACTTGACCATTCCCCACTTTGCCTCGTGAACTCAGGTCCAGAGAAGTTGCTGACATTTCCAGATCATGTTCATATCTGGTGTGCTGTAGTTGAAGATCTGCAGTTGTGCACTGTGGAATATTTTTTCTGAGATTGTTGAAGTATTAGCTCATGCAGTCTCCCGTAAAGTGGTGAACTTTTTCCCATCATTCTGAGAAACTCTCTGAATGTCTTTTTTTATACCCAGTCAAGTTACTGACCTGTTGCAGATTAACTTCAAGTTGGGATTTGTTCCTCCTCTTTTAAACCATTTCACAACTTTCTCAGGGTTTTGTTGTCCCTTACTCAAGTTTTGGTAAACATGTTGCTGCCATTTAAACGATTTACAGCCCATTAAAATCTATTTTTATCAAAATTTTACACAACATCCCAGCTTTTGGGGATTAGGTCCATTATGATCGCCATTCTTCACTCCTCCTGGGTATAGTTTGTCAGAAACAAACGGTTCTTCTACATGAAACCTTCTATTTTCCAGACTTTAGCTCTGAAGCAGTCAGGGTTGACAGTAAGGACACGGTGACTGAAACAGGCCGCTCTCCACGCCCAGCTATGGCTCACACCTGCTGACCAGACCAGACTGGCTGCTCTTATGAGCTGTAATTTTGTGTATTTGTGTAAGTGTGTGCGTGTACATGTATGCTGTCATTTTAATGGGCGTGTGTGGCAACATGAGGCAGTTGAACCAGCCAAAACCACCAGAACACACAGCTCCCCATGAGCCTATCAACGTTTTACAGCAGATTTACCTCAGCAGTCGAGCTTTTGGAGGGAAACTTACAGCCACGGTGATGTTAATATCTTATATTTAATCATATTCTCTTTTTGTCATCCCACTTATACATGACATAACCCGCATCAGCGTTTGTTTTCCATCTGAATGAACTTGTTTTGTGATGGTCTGTGATGATAAGTTATCTCTGTGTCAGCTCACACACAAACTCTCTGCTGTGGTTGATATAGAGATACGCTTCATATACTGGTTGAAGAGCTCGAGAGCCGGTGGTTTTACTGTTGAGGCCCAAATTATACTGCCCGCCTGGTATGCATATATCCCCCTGAATGAAATATTTCCCAAAGCAACATACTGCATATAACTGACAGTTTTGCAAAGCGACAGATTTAATATAGGGATATACATTGTTACCAACACTTAATTAGGGGTGGGATTCACCAGTGGCTCCACGATACGATACGATACGATATTATCACATTTGCAATACAGTAAGTATTGTGATACAATATATTGTGATTTATACAATTGTTTCACCTGTTTAGCTAATTTTGCATTTGGCTTTTCTTTATGTTCGTCTTATTGACACAATATTTTATCTTCATGTAGCACATCTATATATTTGTTTTACTAACTTTCTCCTGCTCTGTTATGTCACCTCTGCCAACCTCACTGGACAAACAATTGATTTTATTTTTGCATTATCATAGATTTGACTTCATATTAGAAATTAATTTGAAAAATCAATATTTGGTAAATAAGACGATACAACATATCACCAGACAAAATATTGCGATACTATGCTGGATCGATTTTTTTCTCCCACCCCTGCACTTAATATCAATATGAGTGACACAAAAGTTAGAAATTGGTTTTATAACATCCTTGTTTTGTCTCCCAACCAAAGATATTCCTTTAAACTGTTGTAATTAAACAGGAAAAGTAAGAGTGTACTCTCTAAAATAGGCTGGAAAAGTGGATTTGATAACTCACACTGCTATTTTCAGTAGACAGCAGGTAAGTCAATCCATGCCACATTAAATATGTGACTTTGGACTAAGAAATATTGGCACATGTGAATCATCAGGATTCCATCATCAGCAAACAAATCTGGTGTTTGTACAGACCTTTGAGACATCAATCAGCCTCTTATAGACTTCCACGTATTTTGGTTTTGGGTGGACAGATGTGACTCTTAGATTTTGTGTCAAAAATGAAGAATTACGACAGAACTCTGCCCCCTAACAGTCTGCTCTTCCTCCCTTTTTACTCTTTATCCTAAACTGCTGGTGTGAGTGAGTAAACAAAACCATCTGCTGCTACAATTATAAAATCAATCATTCTTTGTTTCCACACTGTTCATTTTTCTAAAAATGTCCTTCTGGACGGTGAGCAGATGTTTGCTTTCACAACAAACCTTTAATTAAACCAGGATGATAATCACGTCTGATGACATGCTCACAGTGTTTTGATAAATGTTTACCATCATAAGAGGTTAGTGGTCATCCAGGATTGGTGATTTTGTGATTCATCACCTGTTTTAAATTGATTGATTGATTTTTTTACTAGGTGAGCTGTTGAAATGTTGTCCGTGCATCAAACCTTTAACAGCTGTTTTGGCAGAATTGAGAATTATCTGGATGAAATTAGTGTTCCAGGCACTTTTTTGCACCCCAGTGTTGACAAGGGCTGATAAAAGACTTGTATCTGGTCACTCTTGAACAACATGACCTTTGTTTGAACATTTAAACTGATTACATTTTCACTGTTTTGCAAACATGCGAGGAAAGTGCAGGAGGGTGGGAAAGGATGAGATGTTCCTGAGACGTGTAATTCTAAAACAATAAAAGATATTTGAGTGAAAGCAGCTTTGACACCGAGATAGAAGTATTCAATTTTTTTATTTGCACAAAACACAAGAAACCATTCAGGAGGCAAAAAGGAAAACAAAAGACTTTTGTTATAATCCAGTTTGGAGCAGCTCTGGCTCATTCTTTACATAGAGTCAGAAAAGTTCATAGTAATCGTGAGCAGGAAGCTAATATCTGTGTCACAAGAACTGAGTGTTCTATGATATATTATTCTCAGGATCATCCAGCCATCTGTCCTCTGTTTATGTTTGTATCTGTCTGTGGAGCCTTGAGTTTCTCAAGGATGAACGATGTGCAGACTTTTATCTGCTGCTGGGATCTGAAGTAGATCTGTAATATTTGGAGAATGTTTGTATTGGTCACTGCAGCTTTTCTAACATTTGTGACGGTTATGTTTTTCTTTAGTAGAGACTGATTTATGTGCAGACAGATGCAGCTGCCATCCAGATACATCATCATCTGAGTAAATATACTGATATCAATATCAGTCAACTCTGAGACACTTGCAATGCAGATTGAATAAACTTTAACCTAACTTTAGAAAAATAATCAGTCAATATTCAGGCGACTCTTATTGTATATCTTTTGGGGTTTAGAAACTTTCTTTCTTCTCTGTAAATAACAGCCTGAATGTTCAGAGTAGAGATGCACCGATCCGATATTTGGAATGGATATCGGCTCCAATATTGACAAATTAACTATATCTGATATCAGATGAATGATCCTGATCCAGCGTTCCGATCCAGTCTTTTTTTTTTCTTTTAATTAATTTTTTTTTTTAATAAATGGAAGTCTTACTTCTCTTTGCTGTGTGCTAATATGCAATTTGTTATTTGTTAATATATCATTTTAAGTAAATTTATACCTGCATTCATTTGTTACTTTTTTTTAACAAGGCTAACGTCAACCCTGATGCCTTCACTCACAGGCCAAGTTGTACAGTTCATCTATTCAACAGTAGTATTGGATCGGTATCAGAGGTATCAGTATTGGATTGGATCAGAAAAAAATGGATCAGTGTATCTCTAGTTCAGAGGTTGTCTGTAAAATGTCGAGTGCATGTGTTAAAGAGGCCGTGTCTGCAGAATTCATATTCGGTGAATTTTTTAACTCAGAAGCTGATTTGCTTCATATCTTGCCCTCAGCTTCCCCTGGTGTAGAAACATGTATTTCCATATGTCTTCATTGGAATATGAGTCCAAAGTATCAGAGATAGTTTTACCATAGACATGTACTGATTGGTTTTTGAAAGCCCCTGGAAGTTCAGCTTCTAGACAAACTTTTTTAAGACTTACCTTTTGTGATTGTTGAAAATAAAATACCGCTGCTGGAGATGAACTTCCTTCACCGATATATCCTTTGTTCTTTTACTTTCTTTTTTTTATGCCTTTGTGATCCTGCATTTCGGCGTCTCTCTCCTGTCTGTTTTTAACAACTCTACAGTCGGTCTTGTTTTCGTCGTCCTCCTGCCCCCCTGACCCACATCTCCTCTGTCGACTCCACAGCTGCTTCTAAATAATGATCTCAGCGCTCAGCAGTCTCCTGTTGCCAGAAATAGCGCTGCTTTCTTTTCCAGACTTTTCCCGGCATAAATAAAGCTGCTGTCCTCAAGCCTTAACCTGTGTGCGTTGTGTGTGCAAGTATGTGTGTTACATGTGTACACATGCATGCATATGTGTTTCTCCTTATAGGGTAAACGGGAACATGTGGGTTCAGTTATGTTCTTGCAGAGTATTACAGGAACTGAGGAGAACTGTCTCCAGGCTCAGAGGGCCTCCAGGCTGAAATGTTCAGTTTGTTTGGTTAAAGGAGTCACCGGTAGAAAAAAAAAAAACCTTAATGAACTGAGGCCTGCTGTGGAGGTTCAGTCTGACAGGAGGAGACAGCACAGGTGAAATACAGGTGTTCTAGTTAAAGTCCGACATGTTCAAACACAGGTGATCATCCTGAAAGTTACTTGAAACTCCAGGAAAAACATGTGCAGCTTCCGCTCAGAAAGAACATCAGAAGTCTTAAACTTCTCCTGCCGCACATCACATTCTTGTGTTATTTATCAACTTGTTTTGTAATCTCTGCTCTGCATTTTTCCACTCTATATCATCTGGACTATTAACATCACGTTACAGGGAAAGTATCTTGTTTTGTTCTGGTCTAAAGCAACAAGTGTGCTGTTTGTTCCCTCAAGGTTAAACCAGATAATGTGTCCCAGATTTTTAAACTTTGGTCACTCTGCTTTTTTTTGTGTTTGTCTGTAACTCGCTCTAAAGTAGGATTTGAGTCTCCTTTAAGTTAATTTATTGTAAATTCTCAGACTAGAGGGCTTCCTGAGCAGCACCCTGCTAAATCCTCACAACCCTCAGGTCAAACAAACACCTGATGACTCCGCCCCCTTTCTGCTCTTTGAGACTTGACTGAGCTTGAACGCCGCAGACAAAGACGGGACGAGCTTCTTTGTACTGCAGATGTAAGACACTCCCTGATCCTTTCACTGTGTGCAGACCTTACAAACACACCTACAGAGGTGGGAGCTTTGTCCTGGAGCTGTGGTGTGTTTGAGGTCTCGGCTTTCAGTCTGACTTCATTTGAGTGTGAAATAAAGAGGCATGGGACAAAACCTTAAGCAAACAAATCCCCTTGCAAAGATATTGAATAGTTAAATTCCTGCATGTTGGGCTGTCTAGTTTTAGTTTGGATGGCATTGCATCTGCTCAATCAGCATCAGGAATCGTTGGTGGTGTTTAGTTTTCAGTCCTCAGCAGCTGTTTTTAAAGCTCTTCTTTCTGATGTCTCTTTTGCCAGATCAGCCTCTTCAGTGCTTCCTCATCATTAAGAGTCCCCAGAGGTCACTTCTTCATCCCCAGGATTTAGATCTTTAAAACTAAACAGCTGACTGTAATTGTTTTTAGAAAGGAGAGGAAAATACACAGCTGTCTGCATGATTTCAGATGCATGCTGTGTCATCCAGATCCTGTTGGACCAAAAACTCCTCTAATCAGTTTCACAAAACTGATTCTGCTGCAGGAGGAGGAATTGTGACTATTTTGCTGACACATTTATGCTGGTTGGGTTGGAGTGTCTCAGAGGTTGTCTGCAGGCTGGATTCGACTGGGGCAGTTATGGCGGTGTAAAGTTAAAGTCTGGCAAAGATGTTTGGGTAAAATTCAAGACTTTAGAAATCCCACAGTGCCGTTTTTGCTTGATTGTTAGAGCAGGCACCTTGTATACAGAGTTTATAATCCTCGTCAGCTATCGTCTAACACTCTAAAGCTGTCCTATCAAATAAAAGGAAAAAGCCTATTAAATAATCTTGAAAAGAAAATCTGTATTTGTTTTCAGGGGATCTGTAAAACCTGCTCATTAAATATCAGGTTAAGAGATAAATAATCCTTCCGAAGAAGCCTAACTTCAGTAGAAATAAACCCATTGCCCCAGGCGGAACTTTACCGTTTCTGTGGCTAAAAAGAGATTTTCTTAATCCTTTTAATTGACGTCTTTGGGATGACTTCCATCAGTCACAACATGTATTGTGAAATAAACATGTCTAATCAACCTTAGCGAGCAGTGTTTACGCTCATTCTCCAGAAAAAATTGGTGTAATTATCAGTTTTTCCCGGCACTGTGAGGAGTGTCAACAACTAAAACGCTTACACAGCAAAAGTCAGCTTTTAACAAGCAGCTTGTTATGAAACGGAGGTCACAGAGGGATCATTGTGTCTCCGTGTTTCCCCTCTGTGATTTTTTTTTATAGTCCTTTGTCTTCTGCTCGCTGTGAGTAACCGTCAGAGGACGTCGAGGCATCCTGTGAGTCGGAGAATCTGGACATAAAGACTGTTTTTCTTGGCTGCTAATGACTGTTGTCTGTCAGCCATGTGATGTTATAACCACGCGTCAGAGCTGCTGATGCCTGTTATTGAACCGGGTCTGATCCTGCTGCAGGTTTTAGAAGATTTAACCTCCATACTCTGCAGGATGCACGGTTATTCTTCTTTTTACTTGCACACAAGTCATAAAAAAGGAGGTATTTGTTTCTTTTTAAAGGCTCCTAACCCCTCACGTCTCCTACGGACCAGATATTGGCTCTCTGTTTATTTCTGATGTGCAGCAGTTTGGCTCTGCACACAGCAGAGAGCCTGTGCCGACCTGCAGACTTTTAAGGGTCCACATTTTTTAGCTGTTTGATCCAGACAGACACACGCACACATATAAAAGCAAGGCGGCAATATTGTTTAAAGAGCCGTCTAAAGGGAAACATATCAGCAAGAAATTGGCTTGTTAGTCGGAAACACACAGCACTGAAGTCTCTGAAGTGTAGTCTGTGGAAAAACAAGTGGGTAATTGTGAGCAGAGGAGACTAAAATTATCTTCACTCCTGACTCAGCTGTTTAGTGAAGCATTTGTTGGTCTTTTTATGCTTTTTGACTCGCTTGTCATCTGGAGAAAGACCCGTAAAAATTATTTTATGTATCTCTTAGAAGCATCTCGTGAGTCTTAAAGGAAATATGACCCCAACTCCAAAAGAGTTGGTATGTTAGACAAGATGATATTCACACAGAATCTGATAGTTTGCAATCTTTTAAACTAGGGCTGGGACGATAGGCTTTTCTCTGATTTTTTTGGACACCACTTCGATTGAAATTGCAATTCTACGATATTGTCGATTTTTAGTCTGCATTTGTAACACCAGTGAAACAGTTGAATGATTATAATTGTCTACTGACTTTTCCAGGAACCATATTTCCCCAAAAAATACACATCACATGCAAGTCAGTTTTTAAGATTTATTCTTAAATTCAATCAAAAATTGTCAAACAAAAAATCGCGATACTTATGTGAATCAATTGTTTCTCCCACCCCTAATTTAAACTTTGTCTAATGTTGATAATAGTGCACAGACATGGTATTAAATGTTGAAACTGCAAAACTTAATAGTTTTATGAAAAATTTATTTGTTGTCAATTTTATTCTAGCAACAGGTTTCAGAAAAGTCTGGACAAGGCATGTTTGCAGACAGTTAGCCCCTGTCTACCTTAAATGGGGTCGGCCCTGAGAAGTCACCAGCATTTTTGGATCATGTTCCTTTATAGTTTCCTCTCTGCGTCGTTCCTAATGTGGTGACATCCACTGCAGAGCTGTGTGTTTTTTGGTGCATTGTCACCATTGGGCCTGAAAATCAAGGTTGTTTTTGGTCGTTTTTTGCATTAGACATCGCTCTCAGTGTGTTGCTGTCCCTGCGCTGTTTTGAAACATATGCTATCATCAAATTGAGCATAAGCATACTGCATAAAACAAAACATTGAAATGTTTCATTTTTTGTTTGCTTTATAAGATTTTTAGGAGTCTTTTTGACCTTTTATAAGACAGGAAAAAACCGTGGATAGGACAGGACACAGGGAGGGAGAGAGTACGGAGCGACAAACAGGAAAGGAGTCACAGGTGGGATTTCAACCCAGTCTTCCTGTGTGTGTCCTCAATATATTTAATTTTCAATATTTTATAAGTGGTCATCATTGCACTCTTTCAGTTTAACACAATGCTTAAACGATTTACAAACCATCAAAACCTTTTTTTTAATTCAGCATTTAAAACAATGCCCTCATTTTTCTTAAATCAGGACTGTATTTGTATTATGCTTTCAACACCCATATAATTCCTCAATCATATTTGCTGTTTTAAAACATTGTGTATTTTACTGAAGTGTTGTGTTGCTCATGAGGGTGTTGTCTTGGTTACCTCACTCCTGCGTTAATCTTAATAATGCCAAGCTAAGCTAAACTCTTTTCACTATGGTGGTGCAATGTTTTCAAACTCACGGTTCAAAAGTGCATCTCATGGTTTAAACAGAAGTCGGAGAGACAAGAATACCAGGAAATGAAAATAGAAATAAATAAACCCCCAAATATTCCAACATATATACTGATAATAAAACAGAAAGGCATATTAGCTATTAGACTTGGCTGAATCCAATGAAAAGTAAACTTCATAACAAAAAGGCATGAAAGTGGGTTCTTTCATTTGATCCAAATCTTAGAGAATAACAATACTGGTGCATTTTAGGAGTAATAAACTGCTTATTTCCAAACAGATATACAGATATTCCCTTTTTGCTCAGAGCCAAGGATACCTTCTCTTTCAGCTAAAGATTTGTGTGCAGTGACTGTTGTCTATTGGTTTCTCTTGTCCTGTACAGAAAGGTACTGGAAGTGGTAAACAAGGACCACAGTCTGAACCCACAGGAACCTTGTTTCCTCTCAGTAAATGTCTCACTTCATCCACCTGCTTTCAGGCTTTACACAGTTCTGCTGTAGAAGCACGAGAAAATCAGGATAATGGTGCTCTCTGCTTTTGGTGGACTTCTCCTGATACTCCTGCACGTATCCTAGTTCCTCTTAACTGCATAAAATGTGGTATACAGTGTCAGGCGATGATGCTTGTCAACAACAACGGTGTAATGCTCTCAGAAATCACACATATGACACAATGGAATTGATTTATTTTGCATATTTTTAATCACACTTGTCCAAGGAAGGTAACACAAAGTTCAGTACTACAGACAACAGATGACAAAGGTTTTGTTTGCTTTTCTAGGTTATAAAAAGTCAGCAATAATTCTTTCAGCATAACCTAAAACCTTCTCATCCTTAAAGTAATCAGTATGGATGAGGGAAACAGTACTACATGGTTTCCTGGCTTTGAGCTCTGCTTGATATTAGCTTATGTCTGAATTTAGTCCTCCGTTGAGTGCCTTGGCTCTTTGCAACCTCAGGAAGTATTTAAACCCTCTAAATAATTTTTATTCGCAACTCCTTAGCTATCAAGTCTGCTTATTTTTCCTGTCTGATTAGCTAAAGTTTCAGTAGCCCTTGGAGACAGTCAGATTGTGTGTGTTTTGTCTCTTTCTTATCTTATCAGAACAGTATGTATCTGAGTCTGTGACCCTGAAGGAGGATTAGACATCATTCCTCAGTGACAGATTCGCTGACTGACGGTGTTCACACTTTGTGTCCTCTCATAAACCCACAGAAACGTCTCTGCTCAGAGAAACGAAACAAACAGGTCCTCCTTTTTCAGAGGGAAAAAACTGGTTTTGACACCAGTCCTCATGTTGGGGGGTTTTTCGTCCTGACCCTGTTTTGCCTCTTCAGCAGTTTGGATGTTGGCTGACTCGTCGTGTTTACAGAAGCTGCTGTCACTCTGGAGCTTTCGCAGGGCTTAGCTCGCTGATGGTTCCTCTTACGGGTTGTTGTTTGTGGTTGTTGTTACTGTCGTGAAAGCATCACTTCTGCCTCCATCACATGTGTAATTGAAGTGTGCAGGAAAACTGAAAACATAGTCAACCACAAATGAGAAGGAATTTCTCTCTAACAGTCGTGACAGATGAGCACGTTCTGAAAAAGACTTAAAAGATTTTTAAAAAGCGTTTGAGTGTTAAATCTGAACCCAGTTAATCCCAGCTCTGCACCAAGCTATTTTTAAACGCAGTATTTTTCAAAATAAATTCCAATGTCAGAATAAAATAAGAGGATTTTTGCCTGGTACGCCTTCTCATTTGAAACATGTGGTGTAAGGCTGTTGTTAAACTCTGTTAAACTGGTTTTGCATTTGCCTTGTTTTTTGAATTGAATCAAAGATGTTTTATCACGCACAAACTAAGATTCAGAGGTATTAAAAATGTGACAAACCAACAGGAAAATTTTTTTTATTTTTTCTGGACGCTGGAGCATGCCGGTTAATTTCAGCACAAATTAACCCAGGCTGGAAAGGAAGTCAGGCACAGACACAAAATATAACATCCAGCTTCTTTTCAAAATAAAACACTCTGTGTTTCAGGCAGATCGCATTTCACACCATGCAAACCCACTGGAAACGAACAGGTGAAAGGTTTTTAGACAGCATTTCACCCCGATGACACCATGGAGATGTTGGTTCTAGAAGTTTAGAAGTGGATTTCCTCCTCTGGAAGGATACAATCTACTGCTTATATGGTTATGTGGCTGCCTTTATAGAGACAACTCTTTATGGCACGATTGCACGGGAATCCGCAGGTTCTTGTGAGTTCTTGCGATCCCTGCTGTCCGTCATCCGCCACGAAATTCACCTCACAAACAGATCCAATAGGAATTGGCGGATGGCAAAAATTGCCGCCTTTCCTGATCGGAGCTGTTCCAGGTACATGTAAATTCGGGGTCATAGACCGGCTGTCGTATAGGCCAGATAAGTCAGAAATTAAGAGAATTACCCAACTAATGCCATTAATTTTTTTTTTCTTTGGTTTCGCTGTTGTACAACTGGAGGAGGAAGTGACTCATCCTTTTATATAAAGATACGGGCTTGAGTCAGCATGATTGGTGTCTGCTTAAATTAACTGTTGAGTGCTTGAACTTAGATGGAAGCGAGGACCTCACAGGTGACCCGCTCTCTCAAAATGCTAACACCACAGATATTAATGTAACTACTGCACTTTCAGAGGCATCTTTGGCCAAAAAGAATTTAAATCTGAGAGGGTGTCAGAATTTGGACTTAAAGTTTTGACCAAGCCTTATCACAACACTGTGTCTAAACTCTAGAAAACCACTCAATAATGGGTTAAAGCAGCATTTTGTGCCTGTTCATGTCATCACATTTTAGTCTCGGATTTATCTTAAATATATGTGAAGTTTTCTGTCACACACACACAGACAGCAGAGCAGAAAAAACCCACCCTGAAGCCAGTCTGAGCCAAGGACCAAACAGTAATCTTAGCCCACAGCCCACTGTGTAATTACAGTGAGTGGTTCAGTGATATTGTTCTGCCGTCATTTTAAGTCGTACAGTCAGATTCAGTGTTGGTTCTCAGGCTCAGGGAGGGGACGAGTGTGTGACTTAAATTGATGCCCCAAAGCTCTCTGTCATTTGATGTCTGGACTTTTAAAATTAAATCAGTCACAGCACCAACAACACTAGACTGTTTACATGTGGTATTAACTCCGAAAGAGCAGGGCGCTTTCAATTTAAACGTCCTTTCTCTACAATCCTAACTGTGTGTCTGCAATTCAGTTACAAAGATAATACTGTAATTCATAATACTGACAAGTTTTATTGTACTGATTTGATTTTGGACTTTTACTTGGATAAAAAAAGTGATTGAGAGTCACCACATCACATTTTTGATTCTTACTCAAGCCTATTTAAATTAAGTAGAAAGCATTTGCAATCATTGTCCACATTAGCCTCTATTCTGGATCAAACATTACAGCTCAGATTTGCAGAAAATGACCAAATTATACATAAACAATTGAATGTTTAAGTTGTTAACAAGCAATTAAATTCCTTTATTTTTCATATCACAGTATACACTCACCAGCCACTTTATTAGGTACACCTGTCCAACTGCTCATTAACACTTAATTTCTAATCAGCCAATCACATGGCGGCAACTTAGTGCATTTAGGCATGTAGACATGGTCAAGACAATCTCCTGCAGTTCAAACCGAGCATCAGTATGGGGAAGAAAGGTGATTTGAGTGACTTTGAACGTGGCATGGTTGTTGGTGCCAGAAGGGCTGGTCTGAGTATTTCAGAAACTGCTGATCTACTGGGATTTTCACGCACAACCATCTCTAGGGTTTACAGAGAATGGTCCGAAAAAGAAAAAATATCCAGTGAGCGGCAGTTCTGTGGGCGGAAATGACTTGTTGATGCCAGAGGTCAGAGGAGAATGGCCAGACTGGTTCGAGCTGATAGAAAGGCAACAGTGACTCAAATAACCACCCGTTACAACCAAGGTAGGCAGAAGAGCATCTCTGAACGCACAGTACATCGAACTTTGAGGCAGATGGGCTACAGCAGCAGAAGACCACGCCAGGTGCCACTCCTTTCAGCTAAGAACAGGAAACTGAGGCTACAATTTGCACAAGCTCATCGAAATTGGACAATAGAAGATTGGAAAAACGTTGCCTGGTCTGATGAGTCTCGATTTCTGCTGCGACATTCGGATGGTAGGGTCAGAATTTGGCGTCAACAACATGAAAGCATGGATCCATTCTGCCTTGTATCAACGGTTCAGGTTGGTGGTGGTGGTGTCATGGTGTGGGGAATATTTTCTTGGCACTCTTTGGGCCCCTTGGTACCAATTGAGCATCGTTGCAACGCCACAGCCTACCTGAGTATTGTTGCTGACCATGTCCATCCCTTTATGACCACAATGTACCCAACTTCTGATGGCTACTTTCAGCAGGATAATGCGCCATGTCATAAAGCTGGAATCATCTCAGACTGGTTTCTTGAACATGACAATGAGTTCACTGTACTCAAATGGCCTCCACAGTCACCAGATCTCAATCCAATAGAGCATCTTTGGGATGTGGTGGAACGGGAGATTCGCATCATGGATGTGCAGCCGACAAATCTGCGGCAACTGTGTGATGCCATCATGTCAATATGGACCAAGCTCTCTGAGGAATGCTTCCAGCACCTTGTTGAATCTATGCCATGAAGAATTGAGGCAGTTCTGAAGGCAAAAGGGGGTCCAACCCGTTACTAGCATGGTGTACCTAATAAAGTGGCCGGTGAGTGTATATTGTGTGAATGAAAAAGAACTGCAGTATTCGTTGTTTTCCGTAGCATGCTGCCTTGCTGTTTAGCCTTGGAAAGTCAGATTCTGAATAGGTAAGAAATGGCTGACATTAGTCCCTCTGCTGGATCTTGATTCAAAGCTAAGGACTTCTGTCATCTAAAGAAAACTTTTTCAGGGTCAGCTGAGGTGCTTTTGGCATCTGATTCAAATGCCCTCAAGTTACTTTGGATATTTTCAAACTGGACAAGTACTGGAGCTGACCCAGGAGCTGGTTTCTGGAGGAGTTGGAGGATGTGGGCAGGAAGGAGGATATCTTATTTATCTTTGTTTTCCTGCTGGTTTTTGGGATTGAAAGTGAGTCACACGAATTCCCTCTAATTAACTTAAAATGCACCAGTGTGCTTTGTTACCTCTAAATATGGATGATTTGAAACAGTCTCTTTCCGCTGAAAAACCAGAAAGTTTGTCCTGTTTGATCTCAGACTTCAGGTCTGCTGCTTTGGTTTAATATTTTCCTTCATTCATAATTCAAAAAGATAAATTTGGGGTCGGATAATAACATTCTTGAGGGTTCCTCACAGGATATAACCGTAGACAGAAAAAAGCACTTCTATCTTTTTTTATCCTCTCTCTGACTGACTCGTTTCCTCTTCACTTTCTTTTTAAAAAAGTGAGAATTCTCAATGTGGTGCAGGAAAACCGCTCTGCACCACAACTATTTCAAATATTCAGTGAAGTTTCGTCAGCTGAGAGAAAATAGGCCAGAGCTGCAGACTGGAAGAGGAGATGTAAGGGGTTAGAGGCCGTGTTTTCTTTCCATGCACACACACACACACCTACAGACACACACTCATACACACACACCCTCTGGGACACAGGCAGCTCTTTGACCGCTGCAGCAGGAAGTTTTTCTCTCTTTAGGTCAACAGTCAGAAGGACAGAGAGCAGTTTTTTTTAATCCCTTCATTCACTGCCTCTGCATGCTACCGCTTCATATCACGCTCTGCATTCTGAATGAGGGTGACTGAGTTCAGTTTACAGCCTCTCAAACTCTGCAGAAGATCATCCCTGCAGACACGATCATCCTGGCCTGCTGTCAAACTGATAAATGGAAGAGTGAAAGAATCTGATGTTTGGGACAAAAAACATACTAATAACTAGGGATGGGGCTGATCGAATCCAGTATCAGTATCGGATAGGGCTGCACGATATATCGTTTGGGCATCATTGTAGATGTCGGAGGCGAATAAACTCATCTAATTTCAAGGGTAACTGACTGAGATACAGTGCATGTGACTCTGCATGTGCTGTGCTGCGATCCACCAATCACATTGGTTCTTTACTCAGTTGTCAGACTACCCTGCCAGCCGTCAATCAAAATCAAAGAGGAGGAAACCACGCCCCTGCACACAGCCTGCACATGGAGCGAGAGGTGCTGCCGGTGTTGTGTCCGCTGAGATTTACTTTCGGAACATTACTCATCACTGTTTAGCCCCACAAACTAGAATTTTATGGGTTTTAAATTTTACATTTCCGTGGACCACTATAAGCGGTGCGGGCTTTGCAAGGTGCATGCAATTCTCATCCGGCATGCGTTTCTCGTCAATGAGACATCCATTCTGCAGTTTGCAGCCAGGCAGCAATCAGGCTAGCATTGAGCAGCACTGGGGCGAACGAACGTTTCTACGTAACATGTCTCCTGTGTGGAAATATTTTACAGTCGAAACGCCGCAAAGTAAGTCAGCAATGTGCAATGTTTGCAAAGCTGTTATTCCGAGAGGCGGAACCTCCGCTGTGACGTACGATACCACTAATGTAATAAAAAAAAAAAAAGCACCGCATTAAAGAGAACGAGGATTTTTTAGCCAGGGGACAGAAAGGGTAAAAGAGCCGCCAGGAATTACTTCTGGAGTCATTCCAAAAGCAAAGTACTTCCAGCAGACAGCGTGAAAGATAATCATGAATAAACAATAATGATCATAATGATGGTAAAGCTAACAGAGCTCTGGAATCAGAATGATATCGGTATCAGCAGAAATCCGAATTCAGGTATAGAGATTGGATTGGATGTAAAAAATGTGGATCGGTGCATCTCTACTAATAACAAAAGGCGCAAGTATTGTGTAGAGAGTGAAGTCAAAGTTGGTTGAGGTACCAACAGCTGGGCATATTTTCAACATTTTGGCTGATCCTTTACAGTGCTTCTAAATTTAAAATAAAAACAATAACTTAACTCTACCTCTCTTGAGAGAAAGCTCTTTTCAATCACCTCATGCTTGACTGCCACCCAAAGCTCAGGCAACAGGTAAAGGTTGGAACTTAGATTGACAGGTAAACCAAAATCTTAGCCTCAAGCTCAGCTCATGCCACACCAATCCTTCTGTCAGTCTCACAATCCGTTTTTATCCTTGAGAAAAAACACGTCAAGACACTTCCCTCATTTAGGGCAAAGACTCTCTCTCTATCCAGAGAGAGAGGTGTCCACTGTTTTCAGAAAGAGTAGAGAGTAATAAAGGCACAAACTTAGTGCAGATGAGGTTAAAGGCCCAGAAGAGGTTTAGGACGATAGCGATAGAGGAAAAAATAAAAATTATGTTGTAAAATAACTTCTTAAAAGGGAGACATGAAGCAAAGCACATTAGCAAATCTTAAGAGGACTCAATAATGGTTCATAAATACAAATAAACAGTCCCCAAGACTGTTTCTCAACTTTGTATTTTGATCCTAGTGTCCCTGCCATCTTCAATCTTTTCTTATTCAGGATCTGATACCCCTCGGTATTTTAATCTGTTTATAATCTTTAAGAGGCTCATGACACTTTATGTAAGTAAGTATGTTGGTGGTTTGGCATTTAATATGATTTGTTTGGTTCCATTTATATAAGCCTCACACACAATCAGTAATTCAGAAACTCAAAGAAGCTGTCTAATTGCAGGATTGAATTTTAGAAATATGACGGTCCCGAGGCTCAGTATGAAGCCCAGCGACTCTCTGAAAAAAAACAGTGTCTAGTTTAATTCAAATTGTGTGCAGATTGTTTCTTATTCTTCCACCACACGCTCAATGAAAGAGAAAGGGGGGATGATGTGTCGAACACTTCTCTGCACGCTCTGTCGCTGTGGATGGAAAACATTTGGATGCTGGCCACAGTCTGCTGCTTCCAGACGTCAGATAAGATTTGCTTTTGGAAAGATTTTGTATATTTTTCATGCTTTATATGAGAAGGGGCAGCATGAGGTGAGCTCCAGTTTGCTTTTTGAGCCCTGACCGTCTGGCACATTTACAGATTCGATGTAACAACCATCCCTCCAAAAATAACCCAACAGCTCATTTCCTCTTCATATAATCTCCAAATATTTACTGAAGCCTGTGTAAATGGATGTTGAAATCCAGCGTGTCTCCAGGCAGAAAATGTGGGAATGTTGTTCTCTGTGCTGTATCAAGGTGGTTTAGTGAGGAATAGACTTTGGATCCCATAATTACGCCTTCAAAAGGATTCAGTCTGACAGATGAAAGAGCTGGTGATTTCTTTTTCATTACATTTTCCAGAGTCTGATTCTTCTGTAGCTGTCGGTGCTAACCACAAGAGAAACAGGAGGAGGAATAATCTCAGATGAATTTAGTATTTGAGGCTTAAAAAGCTCTCTTTAGGCTTCTCCGCACTGCAGTCACACACATTTGACTACAATAACATACAGTTTAAGGGTTATAATACATAAATGAAACAAAATTTTTCCCACTCTGCATGTTTAAAACCCCAATCTTGAAAGTACGGTTGCAAACTTTGTTCCTATGACAAAAACAATACTCTTTCCCTTTTCATATTATAATCATTATTGATTTAAATATGTGGGGGGGTTAAATTGTTTGCTTTTAGAGTATTTTTGTATATATTTATTGTCTTTCTTATATCCGTACTTGCTACTAAATGACAACTGAATTTCCCTATGTGGGGATTAATGAACTATCTGTCTGTCTGTCTGTCTGTCTGTCTATCTATCTATCTATCTATCTATCTATCTATCTATCTATCTATCTATCTATCTATCTGTCTATCTGTCTATCTGTCTGTCTGTCTGTCTGTCTGTCTGTCTGTCTGTCTGTCTGTCGGTCAAACTATTTATCATCTATCTATCGTATTGAACTATCTATCGAACTATCTATCGAACTATCTATCTATTGAACTATCTATCTATTGAACTATCTATCAAACTATCTATTGAACCAACCAACCAACCAACTAACCAAGACAAAGCTACAAAACAGAGAATTTTTTTTTTTTTTTTTAATGTAGTATCTTTTAACCAGATGGCAGCAAAATACGAAAAATTTCAGGAAACTTATTTACAATCAGAGTCAAAGTCTTCAAAGAGGAACCAACATGGACTGAGTGAGGGGACTGGTAGCTGCATTGTTGTACATCGTGTCTAAGCTTTGAGAATAGATGCGTTAAAAAGATAAATTTTCAGAATTGAGGAACCAGCCTTCTGTCTGAGGTCAAAGTCTCAGTTCAATTTGTTTCTAACAGCTTCCTCCTGTGTCATTTGTCTGCTCGTCCAGACTGACTGAGCGTTTGGCGAAACGTCACAGAAAAGCTCAAAACAAGAGGATTGAACACGCTCCATATCTCCTCCTCTGTCACAGCTGTCTTTTTCATGAGCTCTGTTTAATCTGGCGGTCAGAGAATCAAAATGTCCTGAAGATGCAGCCAAAAGAAATGGAACGACTCAGCAGCTCAATAACCTAAAGAATGTGGTGATTGAGAGCCAGTGGACGTTCTCCAAACATCTGTTTCAAGGCATGAAGATGGATCGGATCGAAGCTTTTGTGTGCTGGTTTAATATCTGTCATCTTTAGAGAAGTGTGATAGGACAGAGGCCATCTGAGTGGAGGAAAAAACATGCAGCACCTGACCAAAAATAAGAAAGGAGAGGAAACCAACATGATTAATCTCAGGTATAATTATAGGGAGAGGAGGATGGTGTTTGTTGACAGCAGACCTGACAGCAGTTTAAGACTTGTTGCACAAATATCTAATATCAGAGTCACTTCAACTCTCAAAACAAACACCCTCTTCTCTCCCTCTCACGCAGTCTTTTAAGGCCACATTCCCAGTGTTGGTACCGTGACTCAGCCGCATGCCACTCATCATGCCAACCTCCACTGGCTGATGTTTGGGAGTGGTTCTCCAGACTCTTAATCACACAGAAGAAAAATATTTTGATCAGTTTCTCCACCTTAGCATGCTCAGTTCTGCAGTTTAACAATAAAGCAGGAAACATGTTCAAACAAAAATAGAAGGAACTAAAACACATCTATGAGTCGAGACAGCGTGTTGCACAACCCTGACCACTTAGCAGATGATTAGACCAGACGTTTCCCTGTTCCCCTTTCATTCGCAGACGTCTCTGTGACCTGTTTAAGGATCTGGGTTTAATCACTGACTCTGTTGGACTCCCTGCTGTGTCTTAGGCTGATCAGCAACGTAATCTGTTCATTCGTATCCTCCCAAAATCATAAGATGAGTGCATGTTGGACAGAAGGAGCAGCCACTCCTAGACAGACAGTGATTTCACATATTATTGACCCATTTTCTTCATGGCCAAAACTGGCGTTATGTCATCACTGTTCTGTCATTATTTACTGTTTCCATTTGAACTGCAAACAAAGAAATTTTTATGGCATGATTTGGCAAAATATGTGCTCCACTTATCCAAAAAGATTGATGGTGTAACAAAAGGAGTATTTCTTAAATGCACATTTTGACTCCTATCTCTGAAATTTGGACTGATGTAGGTTGTAAATGATCAACTATGCTCTCCGTCAGTTAAACTGTCAATTAGTATCAAACCTGATTAACACCCAAACTACCAAGGCAGTCTTTTTGACTACTTTCAAAATTTACAATGTCCTAACCTCTTAACAATTAAACCTATACACCAGTCCCACCCTGACTTTTCCTAAATGTGTGTATATTTTATTCTAACATTGTTTTATAATTTTATCATTAAAACTTCAAAACACAAAAGAGATCTGAGTATCACCAGAGTAGTCAAATTGACTACATGCTTTTTACAAAGGGTGTTCTATTTCACTATTTGCTACATTTTCCCGCTCTTTCTTCTGCTCTATTGTTTGTTTTGTATTTTGAGCTCTGTGAAGCTAATATCTTGCTATAACTTTACTAAAAACTCAAGAGAGTCAAATATGACAACTAGAAAAAAAATGAACGTATGGAGGCTTGCCTTGCTTCAGCAAGTTCAGGGAATGATATGTCTTGGTATTTTGAAAAAGGTTCTTAAAAATCTCCTTCATTATGATTTTCATTTTGTATACTGATATGTTTTTTTTATCCATTCCACCAATTTATTATTAGTTTTTATCATTGATTATCCAAATTATGTGCAAATAAAGACTGAGCAGTCAAAATGGCTCTTAGTTGCAGAATTTTTGTAGACCGAGTGTTAAATCTGATCAACTTAATGGTCTGTGTGATTTTAGCACATCGACAAACGCCTGAAGTGTAATGTCAGTGTCACAGAAATTGTTCACTCTCAATCATCTTATTTGGTTCATGTCACCAAACTCTAGTTTAAGGTCCCATCTCTGTTATTATAAACTATTTAAACTAACAGTAAGCAATAATGATTGGGTCTCTGTTAAGACTAATTAATTCATCAATATATCTATGTAGGCTGATAGACTCACTATCTTCAAGGATTGCACAGTTATCGTTGTAGTTTTCCATGTATCTACACTGCATCAGTCCAGCTGTTTGTATGGATAGAGAAACCTTCCCACTGCTCTGTGTGTTGTTCACATGTGATTTAATGGCACCATGCTCTGTAGTGAAGCCACATGTTGCTTTTACAACAGCTCAGCTTCACTTGGGAGTTCTGTTAGAGCAGTTTGATGCTCCTGGTCATAACCAGTCGGCTTGTGAGCATCTCAAACTTGCAGCAGCTGTGTTCAACTGCATATTTCTTTTTGATGCAGTCCATGAAATCCTAAATTTGCTCCACCTGCAGCCTGCCGCTGTCCTCTCTGTCCTCCACTCTTTATCCATCTGAGATCACAGCCTGATCAATGTGGCCATTGTGGAGGGTCCTGCAACAGCAAGTGTGAAATGAGCTTGCAGAATAATGTGTCCCCGTCTACAGCTGCTGTCATCCCTCCTTCAAGGATTCCTCTTTTCTCTGAATTGAGCGGGACTAATCAGAGCATCAGCATGACCCTATCAAACACAGCTTTCTCACTTAGGGCCTTTTGTTGGATTTATCCTCAGGGAAAATAACAGAGTGTGCTGTGTATGGTGGTCAGTGCTAGTGAAGGATGTGGATGAGATCAACAGCTCTGCACAACTCCAGCTGTTCCAGTTGTTCACTGTTGCTCAGGAAGAAAATTCTTCTCTCATGAGAGAGAAACTGACAGGTTGAATCTTTGCACATGTGTGCTCACCTTCTGATATACAGACCCAAGCAGATTTGTGCCAAATCTAACAAGAATCAAAGGCTCTTTAAGATATTTTATGGATATTTTGAGACACTTGCAGGAACAGACCTTGGCGAGCCCTCCAGGAGAGTCTGCACTGATCTAGTAATTGATCCCGTCTCTTCCATTTAGTCCCATGTGCACTTTAACCCCTCTTGATGAATCTTGAATTTTGTGAAGACACACACCTCATGATGTGTACTCGTGATAAAACATCAGGTCCGACTTGGTTTGTTTAATCTTTGATGCGTCAAAAATGCCTCCAAGAACGATCATTGATTATTTTTGTCTTTTTTTGTCATCTTTCTCTCTTAGGTCATGGAGAGTGTCACTGTGGGGAGTGTAAATGCCACGCTGGGTACATCGGAGACAACTGTAACTGCTCTACAGAGACATCCATGTGTTTCTCAGACGACGGGCAGATGTGCAGCGGGCGAGGAAACTGCGTGTGCGGACGCTGTCAGTGCACTGAGCCCGGAGCCTTCGGAAACACCTGTGAGAAATGCCCCACCTGCCCTGATGCTTGTGGCACAAAAAGGTAAAGCCAATGGAGACTCGTGAGTTCTCATTTTTCAAAAGTTTATAGAGGAGGAAGATGGAGGTGGAAAATTGAAACAAGGTGCTGCAGCTTTTCCTCACAAATCAGCTGCAGTGATGTGGGGAAAAAAAAGGTCAAATCATCAAACACAGCAGGTCCAAAACTTGGAGTAAAACCTTCACATAACTCACTCACTTGAGGTCTTATCTTGACTTTGATGAGGAGTCATTCAGATAACTCTCTTGACCCTGTTTGAACTTCATCACTCGGTGAAGCAGCTCTGGTTCATTGAGGTCAGGGAGAAAAACTCCCCAGACAAAAATCTTCAGAAAGGACACAGTTACTGCTGTCTCCTCTCAGCAGACCTACTGACATGAACATGGCTCCTAACCTTTGACCCTTGATTGGAAAGAATACGATAAAACTTTTGCGGCACAATCCACATCCTCTAAAACCCCAAATGATCCGACAGCTCACTTAACACGTCTCAAAAGTTTTCATAAAATCTGAGCTTCAATTTTACTGAACGTAGAGTTTATTGCATGACTTTTAAATTGGACCACATTAGGATCAGCTACCCAATAAACTGGAGTCTGAGGGTAGAAAAACCAAGACGAGATTAGTGTCACTGTGGACGGCCCGTCTGCGTCCTCAGAAAAACAAAATAATGAATTTCAAATGTGGATTTTTTCACAAACTTGATCCATCTGTAAAATGTCACGGCAGCCTGAAGTGGCTAAATCGAGAGTAAATGAAATTACTGGCTGCTGTTTGTTTGTTTGTTTGATTCTGCTCAGTTCAGCCAGTGTTCAGCTGATCACAGCCTGCTGCCGAGAAACGTCTGGAGGTTTAATGCTGCACAGCGGGGCATTTTAACGGCTCACTCAAGAGAACAAAACAAACATCGCTAAAGAAACACTTTTAGAGGACCGTGACAGCTCTCTGAGTTCTCTCTAGCTCATAAATAAAGATTAAAGAAGACGGTTTTAAAGGTTTTGAGCAGAGGTTGTTTTTGACTCTGATGCTGAACCCTCTGCTCTTTTTCAGGGAGTGTATCGAGTGTCGGCTCTTCAACTCAGGACGACTCGCAGACAACCAGACCTGCCAGCGCCTGTGCAAGGATGAAATCATCACTGTGGAGACCCTCAGTGAGTAAACACAAGCACACACACACAGAGACCAGCTGGCTGGCTGGCAGAGAAAAGTATTCACATCTGTAACAGTTTCACTTTTCACAGACATTCCTCCAACACTGTCACTTTTTATTTCACCTTTCACGTTGTTACTATGCAGAAAAAGTTAATAACTACTTTTTAACCTTAACCTCATCTGTTTGGCTTCTCTGTGCCTGCTTTCAGGGGGTTGAGTTTTACCTCTTTACAGGAGCATGGACTAAATTTTTAATAATTTTAAATGAATGCCCCCTCCTGTAAACATACATTGGCGATGTTCATGGACTGACTCTTATGAGCAACTTGCAAAACACTAGTTTGGCGGTTATGGAGTGGCTGACAGCAGAGATAGCCAATCACTCACAAAAAGTGGCCCTGCAGCAGGCGATTTTTTTTTTTGTAGGACGGTAGGGTAAAGTCCTGCCTCCTTGCCTCTGATTGGCTAGAAAAGCTGGAAACGTCATCACATGCTCAAGCCAAACACGGGCTGTCGGCTCTGTACATCAAACAGAACATTACAGAACGTTATCGCATTTATGAATCTCCTAACCCTAACCCTAACCCTAAACAGACGATGACATTTCACAGCCATTAGGAATAACTAATCGGAGCCCAGCACTTCTAGCCAATCAGAGGCAAAGGAGGGCGGGACCTTCCCCTACCATCCTACAAAAATTTTGCCAATCAAGGACCTTGTGGGCGGTCCAAGCAGAGGAAAACCAGTTTTCGGCTTGAGTGGCCATTTGGTCCTAGTGCCTGACATGTATCGGTTTGCCATAGTGTAAAGTAACATTGTTTTCAGACGGTTAAAACTGCAGTGGACCAAAACGGGCTTTTGGAAAACTGCGGGGGGCATGCCCTCCGTGTCCCCCCCACAAATTACGTCCATGTACAGGAGGCTTACAGAGCCGTCACAGCCCCACATCTTTACCCATTTCTACACTGATGGAAAGTTAACAATTCCAGTGTGGTGGAATCTTTGGGCTCCAAAACGCCTCTTCATAATCCAATAGGCTTGTCGCTCAGACTGCGTTCATGTTTTATACAACCTGTGGTCAAACCTGGTGCCCAGATTTTGCCACAACTGGTGGATTTGGTCCAGTTAAATCGTCTCCTTTCTGGATTCCTGTCTGTAGTTTCATTGGTTGAGTCTGTCAAACAATGAGACACAGAGGGAAGAACCATCATAAAAACTAAACGCAGCCACAAATAGCCTCAGACCGCAGTATTGACTAATGAGTCCAGTATTTTCGTTCCAGTTTAATGAGGCTGTAAATATCAGATGATGGATTGTCAGAGTGTATTATTAGCACTGGGTTTGGATTATTAGCGGTTTTAAAATCCTATTTTAGCCTCAATCTGGTGTCCATATTGGTCGTATCAACTCTTGCGTTAAGACTCAATATCTCAATAACCTTTGAAAGTATAATGATAATTCATAAACAAACAAACCAATCGATTCACTATGGAAATTATTGAAAATGAGGATATCTTCTCTCGTTTGAGACCTGAAACACTCCTCTCTGATTGGAAATGAAAGCACACCCACTGAGCCGGTCAGCGTGTCATGATCTCTGTGTTTTTACATGACGGGCATCAGTGTGGGCCTCTCACACCTCCACCTCACACAGCGGGCAATATCAGCCAACTGCACCCCCTCTGTTGGTTCAAAGAGTTCAATCTATTCATGGATAAAAACCTTCTACAGGAGAATCCACCCACTGAACAAACATGTACCTGCAGCAAAGAATCACTCTCTTATGAGTGATTTGAAAAGCTGAAGAGTTTAAAGAGAGACGAGTGGATCCATCACTGGAGTTTTTACTTTCTATTCTTTAAATATCCCTCTCAGCCTGGAGGGGGAGATTCAGGAGATGTTTTAGGAATGTATTAATAAAAACACAAGCTGTGATTTATGGTCTTTATGGGACTGTGGTGCAGCACGGTGCAGCGCAGAGGAGACTCAGCAGACTGACAGTTGTGTGTTTGGTTATACAGACGGCTATAAGAGCGCTCCATATCGGCCCGGCGTGGCCTCGGTCCAGATGTGACGTCTTTCAGAGCATTCCCCGCTAGTTCAGCCATCTGACTGGCCCTAATGGACTCCACATGTACATTCCAGATACTTTGAGCATGAAACAGAGGAAGAGGAGGAGCAAGAGGAAGAGGAGAGGGAGGGGGAGGAGGGGATATGGCTTCATAACCTAGCTCCCTCCTGAGTCTGTTTGAGTGATGAAGATCAACTGGAAACTTGCAGAATATCAGCGTCCCGATCGAGGAATGTGTTTATTTTTGAGCTTGAGTTGTGATTTCACAGAGAAGAAATTTAGACAATTAGATGATCCTTTTTGAAAGGTTTCTGTTTTTCCATCAGAGCGACAACTCTCTTTAGTTTTTCCTCATCAGCTACTCACATTAAAATAATCAACAAACTAAAACCTCCCAGAAACAAATGTCATTTTGAAACATTTTTAGATCTTTGGTAATCAAACTGCACACTGGTTTGTATTTATTATATTACTGTCATGTTACTTAGTGTTTTTCCACGAGTTTCCACACATTTTCTTCATCTCCTGTGAGGAGTTTTTGACATTCATGAGTTAAACAAAAATTCAGATTGATGCTTTTTTTTATTATAAACAAAAGCAAAGGAGACCATCATGTATTTTAATTATTGATAACTGAAATATGTATGAGGGGTAGATGTCAGCTGAGCCGCAATACAATTCATGATAAACCTGGCTTTCAAAAGTCAGGATGAAGAGACGTTTGTCAGAAGACACTACTTATATGTGTAGAGGACAAGATAAGCAAAGACTGTTATGTCCACAGGGGGCGCCAAAATTGATGCAAACTGAGATTTCCTCTTAGGAGCTTTAAATCGACTCCTAAAATTTAAACTTCTGGCAGATGCAACATGTAAGAGTCAAATTAAGGGTTTATTTACTACGTCTTTTTACATACTTTGGGTGTGGCTCAGGTTTAGATAGTAAGAAATTCACTGTATAGGTCAGACCTGGGTCACTTCTAAATCAAACATTTCAGCAGCCTCAGAAGAACTCGGTGTAAGATGGATAATGCAGCTGTCCTCTTTTGTTTTTATTGATTAAACTCATGTTCATCTTTTCTTTCTCTTCCAGAAACAGACGAGCCCGGCGCTGTGCTCTGTCTCTATAAAACAGACGACGACTGTGTCATGAAGTTCACATATTCTGAGCACTTCAGCGGACTGTCCATCCTCACCGCTCTCAAAGAACCCGGTCAGTCAAACAGACATCAACGTTATTTTCCTTTCAAACTAAAAATTTTTAGATCAGAATTTGGCACCTGCTTAAAAAAACATGACCTTTGGGTTTGGGTTTCTTTTCCTGGTGCAAAGAAAACTACTAGGACAACAGTCAAGATAATATATGGTGGATTTCTGCTTCTATGAACATCTTCATAAAGGATGCTTATATTTGATTTTTGTCCTGCTGGGATTGTACTTTCCTAGTTTTTTCAACCTTTTCCTCGCTCATAACTGGAGAGAAGTCAGAAAATTGTTTAATCCAAATAATATAATATTGTCCCAGAAACCTCTTATTGTATCTACACACTGATCACTGAACTCCAAAGTTTTTTTGCTTGTTTCTATAGAAACAAAGGCCCTCAGTGTCTAAATTTCTGTCTCCTCCTGTGTCAGAATGCGTCACAGGTCCTGATGCTGTGATGGTGCTGCTGGCGGTGGTCGGCAGCATCCTCCTGGTCGGCGTCGTTCTACTCGCTGTCTGGAAGTTAGTCATCACCATCCATGACAGGAGGGAGTTTGCACGCTTCCAGAGCGCACGCTCACGAGCCCGATACGAGATGGTGAGAGTGATCCTGTTCAGCAGGAATATTCAGTTTTGATTTAGTTCATCTTTTCTCTCTGCAGCTTGTTTCATCGAACTTGTTTCCATCATAAACAGGAAGGAGACAGTGAAATGCAATGTCACGCCACAAATTACAGCCATGAAAATGACCGCTTAATTACTGTCATTTTTGCGTAAATATTGAGAAAGGCCTTTCCAACATTTCCCTAAACCACTTGAAGCCTAAAGAAAAACTTATTTTGAAAAGCCAGTTCAGTTTGCATTGATTCTTTGGCTTATTTTTAAAGGTATTTATGAAAAAAAAGTCTGAACTTAAACTGTGTGAGCTGAAATTGTCCTTAGACGTATTTTCTTAGAGGTAGTGATTGAAATAAAACCTAAAGTTGTAGCTCACCTGATATTGTTTTATCTTCAGCGTCAGAACCTTGAACTTCCAAATCTGATCCTTAAAGGTTTCATTCAAGGCGTAACTTTCGGTTTCTGTCCCTCACACTCTCAGGCCTCCAACCCTCTGTACAAGCAGCCAGTCACGACACACTTTGTGGAAACAGACTTCAACATGTACGGGAAGTCCTACAACGGAGGGGTCCACTGATCCCTCAGCACGGGGCGCGGCAGGACCGGTCCATCTGAACAGATCCCTGGAGGACGTAGAGGAGACACAAGGTGGAGGACAGACTGATCACACTCATCCCTCTGCATGGGTCACAACTTTCAAAAGAGGAGAAACAAACTCAACTTTGTCTGGAGGAGGAATCTGTGGCCTTTTTTTTTCTTTTCCAGAGGAGATTCAAGCCGACCGCAGAGACATGACAAACTTCTTTCAGTGAGCAAAGGAGCAACAAAGCATGAACTTGTCGCTTTTGTAAAGAGAGAGAAAAAGAGAGGGTAGAGTTAGCGGTGAGTTTGTCTGCAGTTACACAAGAGAATCAATTCTATCATGAACAAAAAACGCATAACTCCAGCCACATAAAACCAACACTCACTCTTTGTACAGAACAGACGGGACTTTGGTTTGTATTTGTATATTTTTATAAACACTAAAAATGCCTTTTTTTTAGTATGAACTATGCACCCAACAGACTCTGAACATGAATTTCACTCCACGTCGGATAATTTCAGATGACTAAAAAGCACATTTTGGTGACGCTGTGGTACTACTAACATCTACTAAGCAATAGACTCCTTACCTTCAGTTTGCACAGAGAAATATAAGAGTCAAATGTAAAGATTTAAATTTTCTTTTTGGTGTGTATGAGTGTGTGTTTTTGTTTGCTCCAATTGCACTCCCTTCTCTTATTTTGAGTCACAGGGTACCAGTTCAATCTCCAGCCTCTGAACCCTCAAAGTAAAAGCGCGGTGTTGTTTTAGGTTTAACCTTTCAGCAACAACTTCAAGAACCAGACCAGCATTTCTTTGTCTGTAAATATTTCCAGACTCATCAGCAGTGTTGGTAGCACACACAGACCCAAACTCGTTTGTTCCTATAGTGAAGACAAATATTTGAGTCTGGCAAAGTCAGAGCAATTTACAAACATAAACCAAGTCGACAAGATGTGTAAGCCAGCTAAAAAAACACACAAGCTTGTAGTTTTGTGTCTTTTACAAGCTAAAAATGCTTAAAATTAGTAAAAACAAAAATAAATAAAACTCATTTGTCTCTCTTCAAAAGGGCTTAGCCAGGAGGTACAAAACTTTTGCAAAGCTAGATTAAAAAAATACATTTTCAAGCCCCTTCACCTCTCGCTACAAATACTGATGTATGTCTAGCACTGTCCGCAAAAATCACAGAACTGCAACCTCAAAAACTTCTAAAACTCAAAGCATGCAGTGATTTAGTTTAACCTCACGTCTGACTTCTGGCCCGCACTCAGGGCGCCCTCCAGGATGAGAATCAGTTGGGCATGCAATGTCCCAAATGAGTCAGCTTGAGTGACTATGGTTGTTATTGAAATACAGACTTAAATTAGGAAGATTATCTCACATTTGGTGCTAAAGTTAAGCTTTAACTGTCATCAAGTGACATAAAAATCATGGAGAAGTGTTTAAATCATGGATCAAAAACTGACACACAAAGATGGACGACCACCTTCTTATGCCATCTATCTTTTTATACAGTTAGGAGTCAAAATGAGGGTTAACAGCTTTCAAGAAAATTTGATATTTTACAGTTAAGACTGTGATAACATTAAACAGGGTCTGAAGATGTCACCTCAGCATGAGGAAATCAATGCAAAAGTACAATTGTTTACTTAACCGGCAATCAAGAGAAAAAAAAGGGATAAATATGCACTGAAATAAACCCTTTATATACTATACTGCAGTTTTTTGACTGTGGATAAAGGAGATACTTTTTGGTTTAATTTTTTAGTAAAAAAAATCTAGAATAGAACCAGTTTCTTAATTCAACAACCTCTTATGTTGTTTACTGAAACTACAGCACCATAATAACCGCCTTAAACCGTTCCGGTACAGTTATTTCTTTACGAGTCTTCAGTCAGATACAGGGTACATCACCTCTGGCTTAAATACACACACACATATACATGCAGTACTTTGAGGTTTACACTCTGACTGGCTGCTACGTTATAAAGTCTCTGAGTGGCTGCGTGTCCACCCTGCTGCACTGGGAGAGGGTGGAAACTCTGAGAAACCTCAAAGGATAGAGTCCAGAGTCATAAATCCACTGTCAGAGTTCCCACAGGAAGAGGCGGGGTCATGTAGAAATCTGACAGTGCGAAAAGCTGATGGTGCTCTGTGGCGTTTAACAGTCTTACTTTTAAAAGAGGAGGGACTTGGAGTTTGTATGTGTAAGAGTGCATTTGAATGAAAGAGTTTGTAAATAATATAACATGGTATGTACAGTGCCAAATGAAATGTTGTGGAGGTCTGACTCGTCTTTGCTGTGAGTATTGGCACAGTTTACTAAAAACTTCACCCACCCGCACCTTCTTCAGCTCCAACACGAACCTTCGGACTTCCTTTTGTACAGTACTGAACATTTCACATGGATAAGGACTCACTCCACGACGTGTTTATGTAAAACTGCACACAGAGCGGCTACAATAAATCTGCTTCTGTCAAGAGTTGTACAAGTCTGTTTCATTTGGCTGAAGCTGAGGTATAAATCCGAGCTCCTATTTTAAACATCTCACATACATTAACTCCGCCTGTTTCTATATCCACACATCAAAACACTCGAAAGTTATGTTAAACATCTGTCTGCACCGCTAACCACGCTGTTAAGTTTGATGTGAGATCACACAGACTGGAAGTGTCCTCTGATGCTGTAATTAACGCCTCACTGGTTACACCCACGGAGATATGACGGGTATTATGACAGTGAAACTTTGGTAGAATGTCCCTTTAATTACATTTGCAGGCGCTTTCTTCAAATTAACTTATTACTCTGTCTCTTCGTAACATTATTCAACCTTAGAGATCTTGTGAGAAGATTTTAGGATGACATAATATGTACAGGGCAAAATCAGCAAAGGGATGGCAGGTATCACTGTGTCCACAGGGGGCGCTAAAGTTTACACAAGGTGAAAGTTTCTCACAGGAGCTTAAATATTCATAATTATTTAATACCAAAGTTAATCTAAGTGCAACATAAGACAGACTCTTGATTAAAATAAGATACTGGGCTTGAAATAGTCAAGTCGAAGCTCCTCTGATCGATTTTTAGTTTATTTCAAGTCTGGCGCCCCCTGTGGACAAAGAGATTTTTGTCTTGTGGTATTTCTTGGCTGATATTGTCCTAATCATGTGTTGCTAGGGATTCCTGACGTCAATGTTGCTCTTTTGTCTTTTTTTCACCTTAAATTCATCAATCACTGTTTTGTTTTGCCCTAGCGTTGAACTGTCTTGTGTGACACCTACCTCTTTAGGGTATTTGTTCACAAAAAAAGACCATAAAAACACTCGGTTTTGTGGCTGATGGTCTGGTTGCCTTTTATAGCCCATATAAAGGCATTAATATTAATTTCAGTCTGTTTCATTACTATCTCAAAACTTCCCACAGGAGCTTTAAGTTTATAGGCCTCAGAATGACTAGTGTCCCTACAAGTACACAAGCACAAAAAAAACTTGGTTCCTCCTCTGGACGCTGTTTTATAACTGACAGACCACTGAGGTCATACTTTCTCCTCCCTCAACTTTCACACTTCACACCCGTCTGGAAAAAAACCTCCTCTTGCTGCTGAATCTATTTCAGTCATTTGAGTGCTTCAGCTTTTTAGTTCCACATTCTGCTTCTTCTGTATCTCAAAAACTTCCCTTTTATCATCCTTTCCACCTTCTTGACTTGACCCTGCATCTTAACATTCATTTTTGAGTGTCAGCATTATGTCGCCCTTTGTGCTTGCTCCCATGCAAGCTGTACAACAGAGACAAACGAAATATAACCACAGAGTGTCCTAAGTTTGCTTGAAATAAGAGGAACACAATCTGTAAGGAACATTCATATTTATTTCATTTATTATATTTTTTAAGCTCAAAAAAAGAAATTGGACTTATTTAATCATGCAATAGAGTATGGAAAATTTAGGTTGATAACATGTTTTTAGATGTTAAGAATAATGATAATGCACCTGTGTCCTTCTTTGTGATTGGGAGGTAGTCAATGGGCAAGTAGTCAATGTTTTACATCATGTATGAATTACATCTGTGCTCGGCTGCACTAAGGTCCTTTTCTGTCTAGCTGTTGTTGATGCTCTGCTGCCACCTGTAGGTCAAAAGAAGACTTGCACTTGGTAAGTAACCATAGCTCCCCATAAATGTATTTGTATCTTTGCTATTTATATATATAGACAGACTGTTTCAATAAGACAGATAACCCTTTACATTTGATAATACAAGAGAAAATGGTTTCATGAATGGAAGATTTTTACTATAATGGAAGAACTTTGTATTATATTCAATGTAATATTTTACCTCACTTTAAGAAATAGACTTGATTCAGGTTTCAAAAGTCAATCTTGGTTGTTCACTTTCTAGTTATAAGACAGGACACCAGTGTCTTTCATGCTTCATCTTAACTCATCATGTGTTTTTGTGTTGAAGGGAGCACAGATGACTTTTTTTTCCCTCCAGGCTGAGAAAAGGAGCTGCAGCCTCTTTGTGATGTTAATGTTTGGTTGTTTTCCTGACCCCTGAATGCCGAAACATTTCAGCTGGAATGATAAATCACCACGTGAAGCAGCTCACCCGCCTCTTATCCTCCCTGAACGAGTCCGCATCTCGCCTCCATGAACACGTTATTGATGTTCTCTGACCTTAGCCGTCAGACCTCGTGGATCAGAAAAGTCCCATGGACCGTGTAAAACAGTAAGTCTTAGAGATTTTCACCGCTGATGTCTTGTTGTTCAGTGTTTTTGTTAGCCTGACTTTAGATCTGATAGATTTAGAATAACTTCTGTAGCTGCTTTCTTAAATCTTTCTAAATATTTTGGTGTGAGATTATACTTTTGAATCATATTCAGGTGCTCTATGCAAGTATAAATTTAATTTACACCAGATGGATGTCTGATTCATGCAGTGCTTTGTATTATATCCCGTGTATACTACCTCCAAATATGGGCAAAGTATTTTAAA